CTTACAAATTCATGAGTGGAAGGGGCAGTCTCCTGGTGTCAGTAGTGATTTCCATTGGTGACTGGAAGTGTGGATTCAGACTGCAGTTTTGCGAATTTTGAAATGTTCATCTTTCATTGTAGCCACCTTGGTTGCAACATTTTGTCATGTTTTCTTTCTCTCAGATTTTGCACTGATGCAGAAAACAGAATCGGTAGCAGTGGAGTAGAAGAACTGAAGAGTCACCCATTTTTTGAAGGTGTTGATTGGGGACATATCAGGTACAGTTGCTGAAAGATTAAAGTAGGAATGGGAAACTTTTTTCAGGCCAAGGACTGCAGTCCCTTGTGGTCAGTCTTCTGACACCCAGAGGCAAAAAGTAGATGGAGCCAACAGATGCAACTCTTGCCTTTGTACAGTAGGCTACAAACACCTGCACTCAAACATTATTCTCTATCCAGGGAAGCTGGAGTGATAATCAAAGGCACCTTGCAGCCAAGCAAAAGCACTTGATAAGGATGTGGAGCAGGGCTTGTGAGGCTTGTGGCATGGGGATAGTCCCAATGACTATACAGAGAGATACAGTAGGCTGCATTCAGAACTTAATCCTCGGGTCCTCGATAAAATAATAGCAATATAATGGAGCAAATATGCTGCATCTCTAACATCTACGTGCTCTAGTGAAGCTTCCTAGAAAGTTGTGATGTTAGGATTTTTTTAATGCACTGTGAAATTATTATAAAGTTGCTTGTGCTGTTCACTACTCTGGTATTTTTGTTTTGCTGTAGAGAGAGACCAGCTGCAATCACTATAGAAATCAAAAGTATTGATGACACTTCCAATTTTGATGACTTCCCAGAATCTGATATTTTACAGCCAGGTGAGAGTGCACATTAATGCTGCAATATGGATTAAATGAACCACATAATTTTGGGAATAAGGCCTCATTTCAGAGTTCTTGTTTTTGTTATCTGGGGGCCACCTCATCGCTTACAGTTTAGCAAGCCTCTTACATCTCCCTGTCACATGGGAGAAATGCTGTGCGTCTTTTCTGTCACCTTTCGCTTCATCCCCTATATCTGTACTTTGTGTTCCTTAACTTTTCATTATAAACTGAGACCTTAAAAGCAAATGTATGTAAACTTGATCAGCATATTTTTGGGTTGCTGCGGTTGGCTTTTTAACGTTTTTCACTGCTTGCTTTTAAACCTGTTTGTGTCTTATGCATCTATCATTTTAATCGGGTTTTGATATAAATTATGTATGTCTTCTTTTGTTAAGCTACTTTGACTACTTCTGAAAAAAAAGCAAGATGAAAATGAGAAACTAAAATGAAACTGAAGTGTTCTTCGCTTCTAACTGATCAGAACAATATATACTGTAATGCACTAATGGATTTATTTTGTCAGTGATTGGCTGAGCTGCCCTAATTTCACTGAGGGGCAGTGTGTACAGAAGAGCTATTAGCGGAGCACATTGTACAGAGGGGAAGAGACTGCGGATGGGCTTTGGGGAAGTGTTTATAAATGTTTAAAACAATTAATAAAAAATAAAGTAAGAACGACCAGATGTCTAGGATATAATGAGGGAAAGGACTGAAGTGGCAGAATCTGGGGAAATGTCTGGGAAAACCAGGGCAGAAGGCAACACGTGTTGGAAGTGTTGGTTTTTTGGTGAATTTCGGAAAAAATAGCTTAAAAACTTCATGGTTTTTTTGAAGATTTTTGCCAAAAAAAAGTTCAATAAGTTTTGTGTCCGGATTTTCACTTTCTGAAATATGGCAACCCTATTACTGCAAGAAGTTTAGGGGAAAATGCAAATGTAAAATAGAAAAATCATGCATATAAATAAGAGCAATACAGATGAATCCCCAAGCATTCTGAAGGGGTCCAAGTTTAATGTGTGCAGTTATCCTCTTGTTCACTCTCGGATCCTACGTAAACTCTGTAAAATGCATCACCATTTTATTTGTGTAATTTAAAAGTTACACAGTGTGAATGATTAACTTCCGTCTTCAATATTAATTTAGCTTGGCATTTCTTGAAGCTTGACTCTGTGCATATACATGCGTGTTTATAATCTTTCCTTTTGCATTCTAGTGCCAAACACCACAGAACCTGATTACAAATCCAAGGACTGGGTTTTTCTTAATTATACTTACAAAAGGTTTGAAGGTCTCACTCAGCGTGGCTCCATCCCTTCGTACATGAATGCTGGAAAGTTGTGAAACACAGCAGAAATAAAACAAAGAGCTCAGGTAGCTGCTGCATCACCAAGGCCCGCTTGGCATAGATCTCAATACACTGAAATGGTCACGACAATGGACTGAAACTAGGAAATTCTACCGGATTAGGATTTCTAAGACTACTACAAGAATTAGTTGGCAGTGCCAGCTGGCTTCTCTCTCTCTCTCTCACTCTTTTTTTTAATAGTGAATATTTTTGTTAACTTTATTATAACAAAGGTACTGGAATAAAAAAGGAATGGACATCTTTGTATCTGCGCTGTGTGTGTGTGTGTGTGTGTGTGTGTGTGTAAAAAGGTCAATTATGCCTCTGTTTGTATTGTGGCTCTGTACTGTAATGTGTCTAATTTGCCCAGGGGTTCAACCCATATCACATTTGTATGAAGCGACATTGCTTCTCAGTAATGTTGCCTGTTGTGTGTTTAACCTGGGCAGGGTTTTAGATATGCAGTATGAAAACCAGAAGCCACTTTTTTGTAACTATTCAATAGGTTTCCTACAGATGGCATGTGATGACATAAGATATTGTCACGGAGCTGCTTGAAACAAATGCGTATACTGGTTGAAACAAGCTCTTTTGAAGGTTATTCTCTGTACTTAATGGCTTATGCTCTAACTCAGGGCTCCTAAAGAGAAGCTGCACTTCAGATTGGAACTGGTATAGAAATGGGACCTGGGACCCAGTTTATTTAGCATAATAAACCGCTGCGGAGAGAGCTGCAATTCTTTTATTTTCAGGGGAGAAATGGTACTGTGAAATCAATTAAACTACAGCTTCATAGTGGAAAACTTGTAGAGAGGAGAAAAATCTGGGACAACGACAGGCTAAACAGCAGCTGAATATGCTTTCAAAAATCAGTGTACAACCTACCTTTTGCTTCTTTCATTTTCTTCCTCCTGCATTAACTTCCCCTTGATGGTTTGTTGTGCCATTTTATTCTGCTCTGAGTACCAAAGATCCTGAAATGGCTTGATTGCAAATTTATAAAGTTCTGTTTACTAGAAGTATATATGGTTCACTTCTTGTCAACATGTGGTGTTTAAGAAGGATGAAATTACTCACATGGTTTTAACTTTGGGAGGTGAGGGTTGGGTTGACTAATATTGATGGCTGTGGGGTAGGTTGTTCATTGTTTTAATACAATGAATTGGAGATGAACTTACAAACTTGCAAATATCACATAGCACAGCCCTCTTTGTAAGTGGACCACTTCAGAACTAGAGTGGTGGACAAGTTGCATCTTCCAAGTTAAAGAAAAAATTGAACAGAGTTCCTGCATTTAAGCAACTAGCTGCATGTTGGGAAGAATTCTGAAATTCTTCTCCCTGCCATGCTAACTTTCTACAGGGAAGAGAGGTTTCATGAGAAGTAGCTCACAAATATGCAAGCTTCCATGTTCAATCCCCCATCTGCCTGTTGGAATGGTACGATCCCAGGAGAGCTGTGCAATGAACAAATGGACAGAGTTTTGTATGGGGAAATGATCCAGAATCAACCAATGTTGCCAGTGTTTGAAATCTAATATAGCTAGAGCAATTGCACTTTTTGTTTTGTTTTGCTAGAGGTTTTATTTTTTTAAAGGTTGGTTATACAAAGCCACAGTCACCGGATGCAGTGAGAGAGAACCTGGTATTAACCTGAATTACCCTTGTTAACTGATCACAGAAGACTTCATAGGCTGCTTGGATCCATGATTAAAGTTATAGTTTTATTTTGATTTCCTATGGTATCTGGAACACGCTCCATAATCCGAAGTGCTGAAGCACATCAGAAGGCAGCAAAATGTCCCGCTACTACTGCTCTTCAAGAGGAGCTGCTTGTAAGCCCATATAGCTATTCCCTCCATGTCAGCCCGCTTGCTCGCTTGCTGGCAGTGGGTAGAAATTGTTGGGACTCCAGCTCCCATCAGCCCCAGTCAGTATGGCTAATGATTAGGAAAGATGGGAGCTGTAGTCCAACATCTGGAGAGTCACAGATTCTGTATCTCTGGGCAAAATAGTAGTACTCTGGGAACTCGTTCTAGTTTTTACCACAACAGCCCATGAAAATATGCAGAAAACCCTTTGAATGAGTTTCTGCTTTTTCTCTTTGATTTATTTCTTTTGCACATTTGTGCACAGCTCTTCCCCAGAAAATAATCAGTGCTTGAAAAGTACCTTGACCTTGTTTAATGACTAAAATTTCAAAAAAAAAATCACTTGAGAATTGAATGGCAATTATAATCTATATTTTCTCTCTTTTTTTAAATATACAAATTCATTAGTTGTGGTTTGGGAAAAGTTACACTAGAAAGCATTATAAAGATTTATATAAGGCTTTTTACAGCATATTAAATAAACATGGCATTCTTTTCTACAAGTTGTAGTTTGTTTACATTTACTGTTGTCTTACACCCGTGTGATCTCAGAGGCTCCGCTATGCCTCTTCAAAACCCTTTGCAGCCCCGCCCCACCCCACAATCCTGCCTTTTCAATTATTATTATTATTGTCGTCGTAATAGCACTGCAGTGCTAAGCGGCTCTAAAATGAAAAGTATTTTCATTAGATTTGAAAATGGGCCCACCTCATGATAGCTTATTGTGTACAATAGAATCCTGATGGAATTGCACTTCCAAAAGCTGAGTGAATAGAAGAAATCACAGCATGTAACAAATGTTTTTCTGGACAGTTGGTCCAATGTAGATGAAATTGCCAAGGTATTTTGCCTGTGGCTGCAAGAGCAGCACTGGTTTCTTTAAAAAGAAAATATTCCGACTGCAGTGGTGCAAACTTCACAGCTGTTCAGAAATCTATGGTACAGCAAAATGTATGCTGGAATGCAGGTGGAAGCATTTACCAACCTAGTGCCCTCCAGATGTTGGACTACAACAAATTCCACTGGTCCCAGCTGTCACATACTAGTTTTATATACATGCACCATGTTTTACATGGGAAAGCATATGAAAGTACAATCTTTCATTGTTTCTAAAAGAGCATTTTTATGGAACTGCAGGTAGATAGGAATTCTCCACCTGGGTCATTGTCACAGCTGCCAGTCCTCTTGTCTGGATGTTGTTCAGACATAGCACATGAAGTACTTCATCCTGTCACCTTGATTTAAAAAATGGAATAGAATCATAGAACCGTAGAGTTGGAAGAGACCCCAAAGGTCCAACCTTCTACAATGCAAGAATCTCAGCTAAAGCATCCAAGAGAGATGGCCATCCAACCGCTGCTTAAAAATCTCCAAGGAATCATAGAATCATAGAGTTGGAAGAGACCACAAGGGCCATCGAGTCCAACCCCCTGCCAAGCAGGAAGCACCATCAGAGCACTCCTGACATATGGTTGTCAAGCCTCTGCTTAAAGACCTCCAAAGAAGGAGACTCCACCACACTCCTTGGCAGCAAATTCCACTGTCAAACAGCTCTTACTGTCAGGAAGTTCTTCCTAATGTTTAGGTGGAATCTTCTTTCTTGTAGTTTGGATCCATTGCTCCGTGTCCGCTTCTCTGGAGCAGCAGAAAACAACCTTTCTCCCTCCTCTATGTGACAGAGAGTCCACAAAAAGGAAAGAGAGTCCACAAACCATCCAAGGGAGTTCATTCCACCGCTGAACAGCTTATTGTCAGAAAGTTATTTCTGTTTCGTCGGGATCTGTTCTGCAATATTAAGTATTTTCTGCTTTTTTCTTTTCTTTTTACATATGCCTTTGATCAACTTTGTTTTGATTGTCATGCTGTTCTGTTCTCCATTTATGCTTTTGAGCACTTCTGCATGAGAGGATTTTTAAGTACTCTCAACAGCTTGCTTCTTAATTTTATCAATTTTTTTTGTTTCAAAAATGTATGTCCCACCTAATTTTTGAGGAACTAATGAGGTACAGTATCAAAACAGGTTGGTTTGTTTTTTTAAAAAAATCCCCAAGCCAAATGAAGCATTAAAAACTACAAAAAACCCCCAAACACAGTAATAACTCCAAAGTGGCAAGGCACCAGACACGCCCCCCCCCCCCAAATCATCTAGAGATCTTTTTGAAAAATGGCATGCCTGAAATACCTAGAGTGGGTGTTCACCACAGATTGAGGAAGCTGGAATAAAGCTTCAGATGATGCCTAGTTAATGACTGGATCTAGCCCCATCAAAGAAGCGATTCAGTTAAATGCATTGTAAACTTCATACAGGGAAATCCCGTTGGCTGAAGACGGGTCACCACAGCGTCATCTGGTGTCAGTGTTATAATGCACATAAAGCACTTTACCAATATAGCTGAGTGTGAGAAATGTATAAAAGAAGGTGGTCCCAAGTGGTTGGTTTATTTAGCTAAGTTATACACCACTCAGTCAAAAGAAAATGTCAGCAATAACAAAAAAGTTAAATGTAAAATATGAAATTCAAAACATTAAATATTGTTCAATCAGTCAATTAACCAATAATTCAAAATTAGTCACAGTTCAGGGAAAGCTGGATTAAACAGAAACACCAGCACCTTGAATAGAGCTTGGAAGCAAACAAACAGTGCAGGTTGTACAAAATTGGAGTGATGGAATCAAAATGCCTGGCATCTGTCAACAAGTGTGTATGATTGGAAATGGCCCAAGACTTCTTTTAGGGTTCAAAGTCCTCAGTTCCATATTTATAAGCATTGATCTGGGGGCTGTACAGTTGAGAACGCCTTGCATAAAAATAAACCTTTGCCGTGCACATGGTGCTAGCGCATCAGAGAAGGCAATGGTGGGGAACCTGTTGCCCTCTTAATGTTGCTGGACTGTCAGCCAGTTTAGTGTGGTTAGTGCTGGACTAAGACTTGGGAAACCAGGGTTTAAAATCTCCATTCAGCCATGAAGTTCACCTAGGGCCAATCACAGCCTCTCTAACCCACCTAAGAGGGTTGTGAGGATAAAATGTGGAGAACTATGTACAGCACCTTGACCTTGGAGGAATTGTGGGCTATAAATGTGTTTTGTAAAAAAAACCCACGATTGCTGGTCATGCTGGCTGCAGTTGCGAATCCAGCAACACCTGAGGACCACAGGTTCCCCATCCTTTCCCTAGGGAACATTTTATTAGCAGCTGTGCTTTCTGATTTGGGAATGCTCAAAGCTTATTTTGGGAAGGCGGCCTCCAAACATCTGTTCTTGTAGAGGCACTTGCAGGTAGGCTCCAACTTCAGCCTTGCAGCCTGGCCTGAGCTTTCTGAATACTGTAGTTGACAACAGAATTATATACATGTTTACTCAGGTAAGCTGGCACATACTTTCACAAAACGTGCATCCTGCAAGAGGACTGCAACCTCAAGCTTGATCTTGGGCCACCTGCGCCCTGTTGCGATGGAGCAGGTGTTGTTACAGGTGCGGGTTCAGAGGAATCCCTCTCGCCCCCGGGTTGCAACATCTTGCCGCCTCACGCGGTTTTCCAAGCTGCGCGTTCAGATGCAGAAGGCACTTTTGGCGAGTTCTCTTCTGAACAGCGTGGGATTAGAGCAACCGAGAGACTGGGCGGGGGCTGGAGGGGGTCGGCGGGTTCCTCGGCGTATCTGGGTCCGCGGCGGCGATGGCGGAGCTCGGCTTGCCCGTGGGTTGGGCCGCGGGTTCAAGCGGCGCCCCCGACCCCGAGCTGGCCAAGGCGGAAGGGGCGACCTCGGCTGCCCTGGGGCAAGGGGAAAGGGACCCCAGCAGGCCCAGGCCCGACCCCGAGGCGTGACGAGGCCTGAGGCGATGGCTGCTCCTTCCCCTCCGGGCTCCCCGCCCCTCCTCGCCTGAGCCCAGGCCTCGGCGCGTCTCCTCCGAGCTCTGCCGGCTCCGGCGGCGAGGCCGCGCTCTCGCGAGAAGAGGCGGCGCTGCGGCTGAGGGAACCCGCGCCCAGGGGCGGCGGCGGCGGCGTCTCCGCCCTCGGCCGCCTCCTGCTGCTTCCCGGGCTGGAGGCGAAGGGGCGCCTCGCCTCATGCCTGCCGGGCGGGGGGCCGCGCCTGCCTCCGTCGCCCCGGACTAGCCGGGGGCGCCGGCCATGGCCGAGGCGGGCGCTGAGGAGACCGGCGGCGGCAGCCAAGGTGAGAGAAGGGAGCGAGCGAGCGAGCCAGTCCCTCCTCAGAAGGAGCGGCGGCTTTCGCGCCTTTCGCCGGCGTTGCGACGGGTTGGACTAGATGACCCCTGGGGGTCCTTCCCGGATGTGGAGGAGGCGGGCGGCGCGGTTTCCCTTCTTCGCCAGGCATTTAATTGATGGGGGGTTGGCTTTCCGATGTCCCACCCAGGAGAGCCCCCGCGGCGCCAGGGGGGTTTGCGGGGAAAGGAAGCGCCGCCAGGCAGTAGCCGGACTCGGAGCAACTGGGCCGAGTTTCCCTCTCCCCCTTCACCCCCCAAACGAAGGAAGACGCGCCCGAGGGATGGAAGAAGAAGCGAAAGGGGGGCGGGGGGCGGGACGCGAAACTCCCTCCTCCTCTGCGCTTCGCTGCCACGACCTTTCTTTCGCCTGCCCTACTTTCGCAGCATGTGCGTGACCTGGCTGTACATTTTCAATCTGTCCGGCTGGTCTTCGTCGCGCAGAGAACAAACTTGCTGCCCGCCTCCCTTTCTACTTCAATTTTCTCCAAATGATTTTTTTTTTCTCTCGGAAAAAGCGGGGGAATAGGAAGAGGAACCTGCAGCGATGCTTTAGGAATCCCCTCTGGAGCTTTTGAAATGTGTCCTGGTGGAACTCCAGTTTTCTGAAATAAGTATCTAGCCGTGACATCGGTTGGATACATAAACTAATACTTGTTGTGTATTTTATGTTTGACAAAGGAGGTTAAAATCAGTCCCAATTTGGGTGTGATTTCTACATTGTTTAACTGAAATATTGGGATGCATTAAATGCTGCTAAATGCAGTCCAAATGCACTTTTCTGTGAATAGTCTATAGACTTATAGATATATGCAGATGAATAAATAGTTTTATCATTTGGCTGGAGCTGTTCTGTAATCAGAGTCGCATATCCTTGGAGGTCCTGATTCTTGGTTTACAATATGCTGCAATTTTATCTACAGTTAATTTTAAAATATGTTTTTACTCCCTAGCTTTTTAATCATTTTGTATGTGTCAAGATAATTTTTTGCCATGCTGCTGTACTTTAGGTTATGGATTATTTTTGTGTATATTAATATTCCTTGTTCTTTAAATCTGAGGGTCAAGTGATATATAGAACAATGTTAAAGTGTATAGCTTCCTTCTTAACACTACAAAGTTGTCTGTTGCCAAAATTTAAATCTAGAAAGGTATATGCTAATTGTGTTCCAATTTGAGGCGGTTTTCTGTTGTTGTCATTTCTATTTTACTTCATACTAGAGAAGTAGCATATCTACCGTAAGTTCTGTCTTCAAAAAGTAGGTCAAGTCCTATCTTGTTTCGAGGCTGGTGTTTTCCTTGCAAAGTTTATGACTGGATTGTTTAATTTTCCAGTTTTCACCTATTAAGAAATAGTTATAAAAAAAACAAACAGTATAGGCCATGTTACTGATCTCCAGGAAAAAATCCAGCTCCTAAAACGTACTGGATCTTTCCACACCCTCCTTTTCTGATGCTGAACAAGGTGAATAAGCTAGAGCAAGGATGGGGAATTATTTTGGGCTCTATGGCTGTGGGACACGGGTGGCGCTGTGGTCTAAACCACTGAGCCTTGGGCTTACCAATCAGAAGGTCAGTTCGAATCCCCGCAACAGGGTGAGCTCCCGTTGTTCGGTCCCTGCTCCTGCCAACCTAGCAGTTCGAAAGTACGTCAAAGTGCAAGTAGATAAATAGGTACCACTGAGGCGGGAAGATAAATGGCATTTGCGTGCGCTGCTCTGGTGTCGGTGTTCCATTGCACCAGAAGTGGCTTAGTTATGCTGGCCACATGACCCGGAAGCTGTCTGCGGACAAACGTCGGCTCCTTGGCCTATAGAGTGAGATAAGTTCCGCAACCTCAGAGTCGTCCGCGACTGGACCTAACGGCCAGGGGTACTTTTACCTTTATATTTTAAAGATCGTCTTCCATGAACATGTTTTAACAACGAGTCCGTAAGTGACTGTGGAGGCCAATTCTGGTTCCACACGTTATTCCACAGTGGGGACATAGGTTTCTAGGTGGGAGCTGATCGTGGTGAAGGTTTGCCACATGTGCCTTCGTCTCAGCACGTTTCTACCTTTCGCCCTGAGTTCTAGTGTCTTCAAAGTCCATGACACCTTTGGTAAAGGCTGTTCTCCAATTGGAACGCTAGCAGGCCAATGTTTCCCAGTTGTTGATGTTTATACTACTTTTTTTTGATTTGCCTTGACAGTCTTTAAACGTCTTTTGTTGACCACCAGCATTTCGCTTTCCAATTTTAACTTCAGAATAGAGTAGTTGCTTTGGAAGACGATAATTAGGCATGACCAGTCCAACAAAGTTGATGTTGAAGAATCATTTCTTCGTGATCTTTGCTAAGTTCACTGGCATTAGTTCGCCTGTCTTCCCAAGTGATATGTAAAATTTTTCGGAGACACTGTTGATGGAATCTGTCGAGGAGTTGGAGATGGCGTTTAAAAGTGGTCCATGTTTCATAAGCATACAATAAGGTTGGTAGTACTATAGCTTTGTAAACAAGCGTTTTGGTTTCCATGCAAATGTCCCAGTCATCAAACACTCTGCCCTTCAATCGGGAGAAACCTGCACTCAGCGAGCTAAGGCAATGCTGGATTTTGGCATCAATGTCGGCTCTTGTGGAAAGGTAACTTAAAGTCATCAACATTTTCCAACATTACACCACTGAGTTGGATTTGTCGTGCTGCAGATGGGTTTTTTGTGCTTGTTGGTGCAGCACTTTGGTTTTTTGGATGTTGAGCATAGGCCAAGCTTTCTGTAGGCTTCTGCAAAGATATTTAGGATGGTTTGGAGGTCATCCTCTGAGTGTGCACACACTACGCTGTCATCAGCATATTGAAGCTCTATGATGGAAGTTATGGTAACCTTACTCTTTGCTTTCAACCTGCTCAAGGTAAAGAGCTTTCCACCTGTTCGATATGATTTTTACCCCAGTGGAGAGTTTCCCTTCGACAATGTGTAGCATCATGGCAATGAAAATAATAAATAGGGTTGGGGCGATAAAACCCTGTGTAGAGGAGTGGTGGCTGTAGCAACAGAGAAGGCCAGCGGTCTGGTTGTGCAGTGAGATGATGCTTTAGCCTGCCATTGGCCCTCCCGCAAATCCCATAAATAGTTTTCTTTTAAATTTAAACCATAAAGATACAGGGAATATACAGAGTGGTTGTCACAAACATGTTTGCATAGAGCAACACACTTGGAGAGGTGTATAGCTGGAGTATTTTCGGCATAAGCTTTGTATTTCCTATTCTGTTATCACATCTCATTCGCTCATTGACTTAGTTACTGCTTTTATTTGCTCCTCCTGGTCCATGGAACTTAGAGGAACAAGGGTGATAAGTCAAGAAATTGTTACTCTTCTGAAAACTTAAATATTGTGAAATGTCTCTTATGAGTACTTTCTAAACTCCATTATTGCCCTTTCACAATCTCTACCTCCCCCCCCCCGCTCTCCTGCCGTATTAAATGCCAAATAGCAGTGCCCTTGTATATGAATGTATTTATACAAATAGGTAAATGTTCTTCTGAATTTTAATTTAGGTGAAATACTATATAATGGCTTCTAGGTGGAATAGATTTGAACAATAAAGAACTATTTGTTTACAACTCATCACTAAAACCTTATGCACATAATCATTAGTAATGTATTTCAGATGGGAGTTTTACGGCAGATCTGTTCAGATGCTCATGCTTGGAAAAAATCAAGTTATAAATAGTTAAAAAGCAAGCAGTGTATTCAATTGAGGTGGTTATTTATTAAAACCACATAATAATTACAGGATTTTTTTTCTTTTTCATTTTTTAGAAAAAAGAATTTGAAACTCCCACTCAGCCATGAAGCTCGCTTTGCGCCCTTGAAACAGTCACTTATCCTAACCTACCTCACAGAGTTGTTGTGAGGATAAAAAGGGAATGAGAACCATAAAAAGCGCCTTGATCTTTTTCAACAGCAATCCATTTAAGCATTTAATACTAGCGGCACCAACCTTACCCCCATATTCCCCCAACTACAGTAATCACTTCTCCCTGCATATTGCTTCCACAACGAACATAATGCTCCCCACCTCTCTGTCCCACTGCGGCATTTCCCAGGGGGGCGGGGGACATACCCAGAAATTGGAGAACAACACTCCACTTGTGAAGCATACAGTGAATATTTCTCTCCACCATTCCCCTGTGACATGTTACAAAAACAGCTGCAAAACATTTGGGCAATTTGATATATAGTAAAAATTTACACCAGTAATTGCATAATTTGTAATGCTGCATTTACACAGGCAAAAAAGAAGTGATGAAACACTGGAAATAAAATAAAAACACACAAACACTGTTCTTTGATTGCTATGAAAATTCAGGAGTGGAATGTAGCAAACACAAACAAGCTTCACACACAGACATGCATTTGTGTGTGTGCACATGCTGTTCAGCTTGTCGTCGTTTTTGCTCACTGCATGCAGGGGCAGACTTTGGTAATATGGTACCCTGAGTGAGGACATAATTTGCCCCCACCCCGCCATCCAAACATTTTATTTTCAGAATAACTCCTAATGGTACAGTTAGTTTAGTATGGATCTTCTCAGTAGGTACCTATATAAATTGTTGTTGTTGTTGTTGTTGTTGTTGTTGTTATTACTGCTATTTTGTGTCCCCTTGGTTCAGCGCCATGTGTGGGGGAACTACCTGCATTGCCCTAAATCTGGTGCAGCTGCCTGCCTTGGCCAGTTACTGACTATCAGCTGAACCTATCTCTTATGGCTGTTGTGAAGATATAGAAGGTGGCTGCAAAAGGGGACTTCTTTCTTGCATTATAGACATCAGTTTTTGCTTCCTTTAGTCAAGCTGATTGTACTCTAAAGGGGCATTTCCCCCCCTGTCCCCAGATGAGTACACCTCCAAGGCTTCAACCAGTCTTAATCTGGCCTATTTTGTGTGTGCTTAGATGCAAAAACCCAATTGTATGCAAATGAGTTCACTCCCAGGTTGGTATAGCATGCCCAAGGGTAAAGCGTCACCATAAACCCTTATCTGGCCCCTCCTCACAAGAAAACCTAGGCTGCAATCTTCTACCCACTTACCTGGGAGTAAGACTCATTAAACACATATACTTTTTCTGAATAGACATGTACTCTTGTACTGAGAGTTAACAAAACAGATTTTTTTTTTAATTGCCTGGAGTTTAGAAGACATGCCTTATCCCCTTTGCAGAGTTTTCAGTTTGCATGTGCTTTTTCTGTTTCTTTGCAAGGGTGGAAGATTCTTTAGCACTCACCCACATTTACTCTGTAGTAGAATCAGCAGGTAATACTTTAAAGGGAGTACCTGATCTCAAATGGAGATTACAAGATTGGCTAAAAACACTGAAAGCAGCCAGTCTGGTTTATCTCACAATAATCATTTAGAAGGTTAAGACTTGTCTACATAGCAGTTAACGCCAAAGTTTAGGGACATTGCCATTCAAATAGTGTGTGCGCGCCACATCACGTGATTATGAGGGATGGGACTTACCTGCCCCCCCTATTTTATTCAAGTTTTATTCAATACATGTGTATTCTTTGTACCTCCTTCTTGGCACCCCTGCCTGTTGGCAGATTAATATTCTGCAAGGTGTGGATAAGAATGTATGGGTAAAAAAAAAATTCCCATTAACAATTCTGCAGAATGTTGTGATCTGTTGTCGATACAGGGTGTAAAAAAAATGGGTCATTCAGGGATGCCTGGATTTGAGTCACAGTAATCTGTTTACTTTCCCTAAAACGGAAGCACAATTGGCCGTTATATTTACTGCAATATTCCAAGATTAAACACCTACAGCAGTGGGTGGTGAACCTTTTTGTTGCTTACCAGCTATCACAAGGGTGCTAGAAGGTATGTTAATAAGGCAAATGCTGTAATGGTCTTAAGTACCGTATTTTTTGCTCTATAAGACTCACTTTTTCCCTCCTAAAAGGTAAGGGGAAATGTGTGTGCGTCTTATGGAACGAATGCAGGCTGCACAGCTATCCCAGAAGCAAGAGGGATTGCTGCTTTCACTGCGCAGCGATCCCTCTTGCTCTTCTGAGATTCAGAATATTTTTTTTCTTGTTTTCCTCCTCCAAAAACTAGGTGTGTCCTGTGGTCTGGTGCGTCTTATAGAGCGAAAAATACGGTACTTTCTTATGTGTTCATTATATTGAAGTGCTGAGAGTAAGAGCTTCATTCACGCAAGCGAGGCATGCTCAGTCCATTTTAGCCTTACCATTTTCCACATCATTCAAGTTGCTGCATATTTCTAATGAATTATAATTCTCAATCTTCTCTTTACATGCAAATATAGTTGCTTGTACTGTGAGAGAACAGGTGCAAATTAAGAAGTATCTGATTATTTAGTCAAGTTTCTTTCCCTCATGTTTATTTGACTCCATCCTCTGATTAACTACTTGATCATGCAAATTGTTGTGTATTGAGTCAAAGGATTTTATATCTGTATTATTATTGTCTGTATTTGCATTAGGGTAAAGTAACTGCCTTTTGGTTCCAGAGGGTACAGCTACTATTGGTTCATTTAAGCTGCTGTATTTGGATCCTCTGTCTTATTGGTTCCCTCCAAAAGGCAGGACTGTGATTGCCTGATATTGTTCCCTCCAAAATGTATCCTTTCTTGCTAGTTCCCTGTCCCTATAAATGTAGCTTTCCTCTCCCCAGTCTTGAGTCTTGTGCTTTAATAAAGAAGTGTTACTAGAGAACTGTCTCCAGCATGTTATATCAGGAGAGCTGAAATCACAAACCCCACGTCACAACAACTGGCGACGAGGATGGGATCTGGAATGCTGAGGAGCGGTTAAACGCAGCCCTGCCTCAGAGTCCGGATTGCAGCTAAGAACAAGACTCACTGACCAGCTGAGAAGACGACCCTGCCACAGGACAATGGAGAGTCCAAGGGTATTGGAGCCCTTCCAGCCATCAGAGCCCGACACGTGGGAAGACTACGTCGAACGCTTTGAGTTCTTCGCAGAGGCTCAAGGGATCACCGATGCCAGCAAAAGAAGGGCCACATTCCTGAGCTACTGTGGGCCTGAGACCTTCAAGCTGGCCAAGGCATTGCTTGCTCCAGCGAAGCTAAGTGAGACATCTCTCAAAGATATTCTTGCCTGCCTAACAAGCCACTTGGCGCCTACTGAGACCAAGATGGCTCGGCGGATGGAGTTTCATAAGAGGCAGCAGCATGCTGGGGAGTCTGTATCTGCATTTCTGGCTGAACTGCGGAAGCTCGCTCAGCACTGCGACTTCCAAAATCTGGAAGAGACTCTCCTGGATCGGTTTATCGGTGGTCTGAGCAGCAAGAAGGCCAGAAGACGCATCGTGGCTAAAGAAGAGGTTACCCTTGCTTCAGCCTTGAAGGAGGCCACCGCCACGGAGAATTATGAAAGAGAGGAGCTTGATGCCAGTCGCAAGGCCCCTAAGCCACAGATAGAAGTTGCGCATGCCATGGACGAGCTAGAGGCTACTCCGAGCCAGAGCCCAGTCCGTGGGGTCGAGTCAGTGAGTCAGGCCTGCACAGTGCACAAAGATCACCGAGGCAGGTGCCCAGGTTGTGGCGGAAACCATGAGCGGAAGAGTTGTCGTTTCCGGGATGCTATGTGCCGGACGTGCGGGAAGACAGGTCACATCGCCAGAGTCTGTAGATCGGCGGCGTTGGGAGCGACAGGAGCACCTAGACCGGAGCATCGCAGACCGCCCGCAGCAACCCATTTTCTAAAGGACTGCCACTACGTTACGGAGATCAACGGGAGGGTCGTGCAGTTCCCAGCACAAGGCAAGGCACACGTCAAGGTGAAGATTGAGGGTCAGCAGTGCGACATGGAGGTGGACTCCGGATCTGGATTCACTATCGTGTCGGACCAGACCGCGAGGACATTCTTCCCCAGGGGTAAGTTGCCCCCTCTGGAACCCTTCCCGGCAACCTTGCAGTCATACTCAGCGGGCCGCATCCATGTTATGGGAATGTGTGCCGTGAGAGTACAGTTCCGGGACAAACAGGCTGTACTCAAACTGGTGATTGCGAAGGGCAGTCGCCCCAGTCTCCTGGGCACTGACTGGTTCCCCGCCCTGGGACTGGACTCTGCTAAGTGGGAGACTCCAATCGTCACGCCCCTTAAAGCAAATGGGGAAGTCAGGATCTGTGCAGATTACAAATGTACTATCAATAAGGCACTCAGGGGAAACTCATACCCCATTCCAGTCGTATCACATCTGTTGGCTAAACTGGCTGGGGGCAAGGTGTTCGCCAAAATTGACCTGGCACAAGCTTACCAACAGCTGCCAGTAACCCCACAATCAGCGGAAGCACAGACTATTGTCACACATAAAGGGGGCGTTCAGAGTTAACAGATTACAATTTGGAGTTTGTGTGGCCACAGGGATTTTTCAAGGGCTCATGGAACACCTGTTAAGAGGTCTGCCGGGGTCTTGCCATTTTTTGATGACGTTTTGATTGCTGGAAAAGACCCACAGGAACTGGTTGCACGTGTTCGTGCAGTGTTGCTCAAGTTCAAGGAGGTGGGGTTGCAACTGAAAAAGGAAAAATGCAGTTTTGGGGTGCCAACTGTGGATTTCTTGGGGTTTAAAATTGATGCATCAGGCATCCACCCCACAGATGCTAAGATTAAGGCCATCATCGAGGCGCCACGACCACAGAACAAGACGGAGTTGCAGTCATTCCTGGGACTTATTAACTTTTATCATTCTTTCTTACCCCAGAAAGCTTCGGTAGCTGAACCATTACATAGACTGTTGCAGAAAAAGACTGTGTGGCGATGGGGGCAGGGGCAGCAGAAGGCTTTTGACTCCTTGCGAGGAATGCTGAGTAGCAGGAGTGTCCTTGCTCATTATGACGAGTCAAAGCCTCTGGTCCTGGCATGTGATGCCTCTCAATATGGCCTGGGGCGGTGCTAAGTCATAGGGAACCGGATGGGTCGGAAAAGCCCATCTCTTTCTATTCCCGTACGTTGTCGCCCACGGAGCGCAACTATGCTCAAATTGACAAAGAGGCGCTTGCAATTGTGGCAGGAATCAAAAGTTCCATGATTATGTGTACGGTCGCCATTTCTACATTGAAACGGACCACAAGCCACTGTTAGGGTTGTTCAACCCGAACAAACAAACGCCACAAATTCTCTCCCCCAGAATGTTACATTGGTCTATATTCCTGAACGGGTTCCAGTACACCTTGACCCATGTGCCGGGGAAATGGTTGTGCCACGCGGATGCGCTGAGTCGATTGCCCCTTCCTGGCGGGAGCACTGAGGATCCTGCTCCAGCGGAGCACATAATGATGCTGGAAACACTTCTGGGGGCTCCTGTAACGGCTACTGATATAGCTGAGAAAACGTGGAAAGATGCTGTTCTCTCCCGTGTGCTCACTTGGGTGGGGAGGGGGTGGCCAGGTGGTCCGCATGAAGACAAATTCAGGCCTTATGCGACTAGGCAGCACGAGTTGTCCATGCATAAGGGTTGTCTCCTGTGGGGAGATAGGGTCATCATTCCAGCACCACTGAGAAACAGGGTTCTTGAGACGCTTCACATGGGACACCCGGGAATGGTCAGGATGAAGTCGCTAGCCCGATGTTATGTGTGGTGGCCTGGAATGGACCAGAACATAGAACAATGGGTACGAACATGCAAGGCATGCCAAGAGGTGCGGCCAGAAGTGGCCAGAGCACCAGTCCACTGGTGGGAGCAGTCCAGATCTCCCTGGAGCCGGCTGCACTTAGATTTTGCTGGGCCATTCCAAGGAAAGGTCTTTTTGGTTATCGTTGATGCATATTCCAAATGGTTAGAAGTGGCGATGGTCCCTAGCATGGCATCAGCTGCCATCATCAAGGTGTTGAGGCAGCTGTTTGCAACCCACGGGTTACCTGAGACCATTGTATCAGATAATGGGGCAGCTTTTGTATCCCAAGAATTCAGGGCATTCTTGGCTGATAACTTCATAAGAGGGGTCACATCCGCGCCCTTTCACCCATCCTCCAATGGGCAGGCTGAGCGCATGGTAAGAACAGCCAAAGAATCCATTGCGCGCTTAATGGAGGGTAACTGGTCAGCTCGCATCGCGCGAATGTTATTTTTGCAGCATGCGACGCCGTGTACCGCAACGGGCAAGTCGCCAGCTGAGCTGCTCTTGGGTAGGAGACTGGTAACGGTGCTGGATTATGTCCACCCGGATAAAATGCCAAACCATAATTCAAGAGCAACTCCCCAGGCTGAGACTGACACAACAAGGTATCTCGCCCCTGAAGATCTGGTCTGGGTGAGGAACTATTCACGAGGTTCGAGGTGGGTGGCTGGTGTGGTCACCCGGGCTAGTGGACCTGTGTCCTATTATGTGACCTTGGAAAATGGGCAAGTGTGGAAGAGACATATAGATCAGCTGAGGCGCCGGGCGCTCAGCAGGGAGGAGCCAGATAATTCATCCCAGGCTAACGACGCAGAGCCGCAAGACTAGAGTGAAAATGGCCCAGAGGTGCAATCACCAGGGGCTTTAACAAATGAACCAGGGTCTGCTAGTCCTCACGATGACGAGGTACAGATAGGGGACCCTGAGATGTCGGGGACTCCATCTGTTCCTGACGAAACCCCTAGAGCAGCCCCTCTACCACAGGTAACACCCAATCCAGAACCTGCAACACCTGTTGTCAGGAGATCAAGTAGAAGTTGTAGGCCCCCACAGTACCTGAGAGATTACGTCTGCTGTGCTCACTAGGGGGGAAGGGGTGTTGTGTATTGAGTCAAAGGATTTTATATCTGTATTATTATTGTCTGTATTTGCATTAGGGTAAAGTAACTGCCTTTTGGTTCCAGAGGGTACAGCTACTATTGGTTCATTTAAGCTGCTGTATTTGGATCCTCTGTCTTATTGGTTCCCTCCAAAAGGCAGGACTGTGATTGCCTGATATTGTTCCCTCCAAAATGTATCCTTTCTTGCTAGTTCCCTGTCCCTATAAATGTAGCTTTCCTCTCCCCAGTCTTGAGTCTTGTGCTTTAATAAAGAAGTGTTACTAGAGAACTGTCTCCAGCATGTTATATCAGGAGAGCTGAAATCACAAACCCCACGTCACAACACAAATGAAATAGGTAAATGTTGAAGCAAGATAAGGAAGGGGCAGTTAATCTGGGAAACTGTGTGTAAGCAGGTCTATCATTAGCATTGATACACATATCAGTGAAAAATAAATGTTAGTTTTTAAGTTTGCCCAGGACTCTTCATTGCTGTCTTTTGCAGCAAAACCACTGCTTCCCCTAGATGTGTTCTGCTGTTGTAATAAATTCATTGTGAACATGAAGAAAGCATGAAGACTCTTATGTGGCCTTATATGCAGAGAGTTTAGGTATTCATTCTGGGTTGGAAAACCTTTTATCTGTAGTTGCAATGTATTTTGTTAATTATTTTTAAATGTTTTTGATTACTTATTTCAATATGTCCTGTAAAGTGCTTAGAGATTTTATTACAATCAAACAGTATACACATTTTGTTAATTAGGCAAGTAAACTTAGGCATTCTGTGAGGGGTTGCATGACAGACAGACAGACATTTCTTATTGAGTTGTGGTATGCACAGCATAGTGTGGAGAAGAAAAGGCCAGGTGTTTAAAATGATGTGAATGCTTCAGGCAGTCACTTTTCTGTAGCCATTGTAGGTTGGGTTTGCAGCAGCAGTAGTTATATGGAAAGTTATACTAAAAGCTAATCCTCTTTCAGATGGTTTTCAACCAGCTCTGGAAGGGATTGTACTTTATCTAACGGCCTGGGAGTGATATTAGGTTTGTCATTCTCTTAAGCATCAAGTAATTTTGGTGGCACAAAGAAACTTCTGTCATTTGACAGGCTCATATGCTAACAGCAACCTCTCCTAGACTGAGCTAGCCTAGCCACAGTTATATTTGCCTTGGTAACTGATATGAGGCTGCTTTTGAAGACAGTTCAGAAACTGTAGATAGCCCAGAACACTGTTCCTAGGCTGATAATGGGAATTAGGTGAAGAGAAAATAATTTGTGTTTATTGCAACAACTCTACCGGCTTCCAGGGACTTTCTGAGCTCAGGTCCAAAGTGCTTGTCATAAGCTTTGAACAGGTTATGACTAGATTATCCACAGCTCTGGATCCAAATATTTGTTGGACTGCCTTTTTCTGCATCAGTCTACCGATTCCTTAAGATCATTATTTAAGGCCTTTCTCCTTGTGCCTCTGCAGCCTGATGTGTGGCAGAGAGCAAGCCTTTTTTTTGGTGGCACCACACCTTTAAAATACTCTCCTAAAGGAGGTCCACCTAGAGACTGCATTACTATCATTAAGGGCTTGTCCACACTTTCGCTTGTCCAGTGCCTAGAAAGAATGGGTCCAAATGGCTTTCTGTGTTTTCTAGGCACAGGTCCAAGCAGTTTTGCCTTTACCTCGCCACTTCCCCCCAGAAAACTGCTCTTCAGCGCTAAATTGGAGCAAATGTCAATCCAGAGAAAACCCAATTGATGTTTATTCATCAGCGGGTTTTCCCCAGGGAAAGCGGAAGTGTTTGGATGAATCCTTAGTCACCAGGCAATCTGTTTTCCTAGGCTTAAAGGACTGTAAACATTCTTTAACTTAGTGAAGATTCGTTTTACCCATATACTGTAGTTAAATTGTCTGGCGATGTTTTAGTTTCTTTTTAATTTCCCGTATTAGTTTGTGTTTATTATTGTTGTTATTATTTTAAGTTTTACTTCTTGCTTCTTATACCATGGTTAGCAGCTACCCTAAGAGCATAAATCTTTGTTGACGGTGTGGGACATAAATTATGTAAATGGACAGATTGATTGACACAGAATTAAGAAGCATGTTTGTCATGGGGGAGCTCTTTTGTATCAAGGTTATTCATGGATTTAGGTCAGCAATTTTTTTCATTTCTGTCTAGATTGGTTGGAATACAGTACATACAAAATCACTCTGTCTCAACTTTGGCACTATTTTACTATTTGCAGATAATTTTCAGATGGAAGGAAACCAGTGTGTTGCCTCTGCGTTCTCAAGCCTTATGACTCCTATATCCCAGCCTGTCACTGCCAACTCAAGTAATACATTTGGAGTGGACTTTCCAAGAAAACGCAAAGGAAGTGATTCTGATAACCAGTAAGTTGGGGGGGGGGGTAATTTCTGCTTCACTGTAGTATAATAATACTGGATTTGTGTTAGACCTATAGTTGCTAGTGTGTGTGTACGTGTTATGCATCTAACACATCTATTTTGGGAGATAATTTTGTGTATATTCAGGAGCTACATACTAAACACATGACAGAACAGTGATAATGCATTTTCAGCTTCTTGTGCTTCCAGTTCCTATTCACAGTTTTATTAATCTACCATGACATATTCTGTGCCTGGAAAAGTCTGTTCTTTTCTGTGCTTCATGCCATTTCCAACTAGCTGCTCCTTGTAAACTTCTTCAAATCCCACAGTTCTCACTAATTTTCCTAAACCAACATACATTTCCATATTTTACTCACACTGTCTGTTCTCATTCCTTTTTAACGTTTTTACCTCTTATCTGTTCTTTCCAAGAATATAATTTGATACTTTCCTGATATTTTGAAATAATAAAACAGCAGGGCTGGAAATCAACAACTGAAAACATTATAGGATTTAATTGGAGGGGATTACATATTTTAAAACAACAGCAACAAATATTTAACCTAAAAACCATTAGATTTGGTACCAAGATTATCCTACTGAATGAAGCCTATCCGAAGGAGGGTATCGGAAAGCTCAGCTGTTTCAGGTGGCCTCCATGATGTAATGAAATTTATTCCTACTTTCCATTTGTCTAGTGTAGATTCTTCTTGCCACAGATGGTCTCAGTGAGTTAACACTATGAAAGTTTTTATGTACATCTTTATCTTTTCCAACAATGGCATCTTACCTCATCAGACACACCATGCTGCTTCTATTTAGATTTTCCATAGAGTTGTTGAAAATCTGTTTCTGAACTACTAACTCCTATCTGAGCTCTCCAAAGTGCTTTTCATAATATCTCTTCATAATACTAAAAGTTGACATACCAAAAGTTTTTAAGCAGAGGTTGGATGGCCATCTGTAATGCATGCTTTATCCGAGATTCCTGCACTGCAGGGGGTTGGACTAGATGACCCTTGAGTCCCTTCCAACTCTTAAGATTCTATGACAGTACCCACTTTCTGAATGTGAGCATCTTTCAAATACTTTCTTGTTCAAGTTGGTTATGGCATCAGGGATATTTACCTCAATCTTTAGTGTACTATATTATAAGAATTGCTGGGAAGTTGCATATCATTTTAAATTGCCAGATGATTAAAAGTAATTAACAAAAAGTTATGTCGTGACAGATGTGATAAGGGAAAATGTCTGTTAATTGTCAGGGTATTCTGCTATGGCTATAGCAAGGCCCAAATTGATTGTACTGGGTGGGGAACCAGTGGCATGGGCGTGGGTGTAGCCCAGGGGGGCAGCTGCCTCCCCTAGGTCAAATAAAACAATGGTCAGTTAGTTAAGTATTTCAAATCATGTTGGTTCTGCCCCCCTAACAAAAATTGTGGCTACATCCGTGGGTATGTGGGCTGCATCTGGTCAACACAGCCTTTCTGTTCAGCCTACTCACTTTCCAAGGCTCCACCCCCTCATTATCTCATGCTGCTGATGCCTGCTGCAGTTAGTTCACCAGCTGTCAGCATGTTCCCTTACTCAGGGAAGTAGCCATATCCGGGCATTCTTTTCTGTGCTAGGAAGCACTCATACCTGTCCAGGTGCCCTGGGGAGTATTCAGCAGCATGCAGCCTTTTCCAAAAGTGCCCAGGTATTTCAAGAACCAGTCAGCTCCTCTCACTTCTCCCAAAGCGATAATCCCCTCTTTGGAGACATGTTCAACAAAAATTAGTGGGGACTCTAGTTACAGGGTGGGATTCTTGCAGGAAAAGTCAGGCCAAAGAGTAATTGCAGGAAAAGAGATGTTCCATAATTCCAGTGCGGGAGGAGAGGAAAAGGAGAGAGAGAGAGAGAGAGAGAGAGAGAGAAGGCATAAAGTTGGGAGGGAAAACAGAGATTGAGATGCAGGAAGTGAAAGGAGAAGTGTGATGTCTCTTCTGTGGAGCTGTGGATTTGGGAAGTTTGGAGAGATGGAGCTGGGTGGAAGGAAGCTGAATTTTATGCAGAAGTAAGTGGCGTGTGTATGTGCCTGAAAATGTACAGTATTTCTGTAACTGGATTTGTTTTGCACTGTTTACTTTTTTGGGTTTCGTCCTGCATATGTCCCCCCACCCAAGTTTACACATGTGGGGAACACAGCCCTTAGACTGAAATGGGTTCCCTACTCCTGCAGTACGTGAAATAACTTTGACTACAGTTGCCCTGGGCTTTTTCAGGCTGCAGCACAATCTTTAGTACCTCTTCACCCCATAGCCACAAAAACCAAGGAAAACTCTTGGAATCACATTAAAGTGGTACTTCAGGTTAAGAACTTAATTCGTTCTGGAGGTCCGTTCTTAACCTGAAACTGTTCTTAACCTGAAGCACCACTTTAGCTAATGGGGCCTCCCACTGCCGCCGTGCCGCTGGAGCACAATTTCTGTTCTCATCCTGAAGCAAAGTTCTTAACTCGGGGTACTATTTCTGGGTTAGCGGAGTCTGTAACCTGAAGTGTTTGTAACCCAAGGTACCACTGTACTGGAATGCAGTCTTCTATGACTGGTGTTCAGGGGTAAAGAAGAAAGGCATTTTTCTTTTCTTTTTTGGCGTTCTTATGTGTCCCAGGTCTCTGCTGTAAGAAGAGTAAGGAAAACTCTGCATGATTTTCTATTGTAATTGTTTTTCATTCTTGATTTTGATGTCTTCTAAATAGTATAAATTCTCTTTTCTCTAGGTATGCATGTGATGTTGATGATCTCCAGAGCAGGTATAATTCCTTAAAGAACTAACAAGCAAATAGTTAAATACAGTACTGTATTTTTGAATACCATGCTCAGAAGAGTTAAAGCGGTGGTTAAATGTATATTTGTGTTTCTACAAATTCAAAATGCTCATCAAGATCACTTAAAAGACTAAATGTAAAGAACTTTCCAGAAATATAGTGTAGTTAAGTAAAACAGTGTTTCTGCTTCAGATAAAATGGCTAGTATTCCTTGTTTGGCTAGTAGAGTTAACGCTGAATTTGAGAGCTGACCTCCACTATTTACAGGGTATAAAATAATACAAGAAGATCCACCTGAGTCAGTGGAAGATCCCACACAGACTGGCATATCCCTAGTTCTCGTGCATGTGTACTGCTTGGTGCAGGCTTTAATTTGTTTGCTTGAGGGGTCATGGTAGTTTTAAGAAGATAAAGTCTTAACTTTCATTTGTTAGTGCTAAGTTTAGATTTAATCCTAGATAATGTTCAGGTGTGTGTATACATACATATATACTTCTGTAATTTAAACTTGAAAAAATGTCAAAAACTATAAATAAGAGGTTTTGACAGTCATTTATTTATCCCCCATGAATACTCAGCCCCTATTTATATTTGTATATCAATATTTTCTCCCATCTCTAGTTATTAATTGCAGAAATCAGTATGGTTCTTTCTGCGTTCTCTTGCTGTTCATATAATAATTTTGCAACATGTTATATGGAGTTCAGCTTGTTTTTATTAAGTACCACTGCACAAGATATGTCTTCTGCCTTCTTTTTAGGGAGGCTCATAGCCAGACAGAGAAACGAAGAAGAGACAAAATGAATAACCTCATAGAAGAACTCTCTGCTATGATACCTCAGTGCAATCCAGTGGCCCGTAAAGTGGATAAACTCACAGTATTAAGGATGGCTGTGCAGCACTTAAAGTCATTGAAAAGTGAGTTAAGAATGGTATAAAATATCCTGTTTTAAGTGTAAAAAAGGTGTACACCAGGGCAGAGTGACTTCCACAAATAGAAATACTACAGTGTCCTATATAGGACAGATTGAGTGCCCAGCTACAGTGGTGCCTCGCAAGACGAAATTAATCCGTTCCGTGAGTCTTTTCGTCTTGCGGTTTTTTCGTCTTGCGAAGCACGGCTATTAGCGGCTTAGCGGCTATTAACAGCTTAGCGGCTTTAAGAAAAAGGAAACAAACTCAGACTGAAGACGTTTCGTCTTGCGAAGCAAGCCCATAGGGAAATTCGTCTTGCGGAATGACTCAAAAAACGGAAAACTCTTTCGTCTAGCGAGTTTTTCGTCTTGCGAGGCATTTGTCTCGCGGGGCACCACTGTAATGCTTTCTTTGATTGCCATATCTTTTGAACAAGCTGCCTCTCTGTAAGGCATGAAAAGTGTCCTGGCAAGTTATAATGTTGCACTGACACAGCAATCCTTGCTTTTATTGCTGTTGAAACAGACCATTGGATTTGATGTTAAATTTAGAACAGTTTTCCACTGCTTTAAGTATTTATGAAAACGGAACCTGAAAGATGTTAATACTATTATTTATTTATTTATTTATACATACATACATACATACCCAACCCATCTGACTGGGTTTCCCTAGCCACTCTGGGCGGCTCACAGCATATATCGAAACATACAAAAACATCAAACATTAAAAACTTTCCTATACAGGGCTGCCTTCAGGTGTCTTCTGAAAGTCAGATAATTGTTTAATTCCTTGACATCTAAAGATAGGGTATTCCCCAGGGAGCGTGCTACTACTGTGAAGGCATTCTACCATTTTCTTCTCTATGTTTATATCTGTTTAAGACTTAAAATTTGCTGTCTGTGGGTCATGGGTAGGTAAACTAAGGCCCGGGGGCCAGATCCAGCCCAATCGCCTTCCATATCAGGCCCGCGGATGGTCCGGGAATCAGTGTGTTTTTACTAGAGTAGAATGTGTCCTTTTATTTAAAATGCATCTCTGGGTTATTTGTGGGGCCTGCCTGATGTTTTTACATGAGTAGAATGTCTGTTTTATTTAAAATGCATCTCTGCGTTATTTGTGGGGCATAGGAATTTGTTCCTTTTTTCCCTTTCAAAATATAGTCCAGCCCCCCACAAGGTCTGAGGGACAGTGGACCCAGCCCCCTACTGAAAAAGTTTACTGACCCCTGCTGTGGAAGAGTATGGAAAAAAGAGTTTTCCATACTCTTTTGTCTCAGCTTTCACTTGCAAACCTTTATGACCAGTTTGCATTTTTAAAAGTGGAAATGCCAAGCAAGTCTTGTTGTGTGAGCATATTTGTGGGGCGTTTTCCTGCTAGTAAATCAATGACTTGGTGTGAAATCTCTTTATCTGCTTTTGGTCTCCTTTTAGAAATTAATTTATCATTTTGCAGGTTCTTCTAATTCTTACGCAGAAGTCCGCTACAAGCCTTTTTTTTTACAAGATGATGAACTTCAACACTTAATTCTTAAGGTAAGTAAAGAAAGGTCAGGAATTGAGTGTTATTTCAACAGTAATTGCTTCATACTGGATTATTAACTTTCTTTGCCTTTCTCCAAGACATCCTCAAGATGACTGATACTGATATATTAATCAAATATAATAATACATTAAGAACTATTAAAAGCTACTTCCAGGTGGTTCAAGCTGCTGCCCCTCTCCTCATTCTACATGTAAACTGAAGAGGGCATGACAAGTTTTCTATCATTTCTGCTGTCTCACAAACAAATCATCCTCCAAGATTGACTTCTTCAAATTAGATATTTGTGGTGACAATATGAATTTTAATGTTTTTAATCCTCTGGAAGGGAGGGACATAAACACACCTGAACCAGACCAGAAATGGAACATCCTCTCTATTATAGAGACACAGCACCATGCTCACCATTGCCTGGGCTGAAGGTTTCTTCAGGCTCTCTGGGCCTGGGAGAGCCTGCTCACTCACCTCTCTGTTTCTTAGGGCCTGAAGTATTCTAGCGGGCTGCCATACAGGGCACTCTGCTCTGCTCAGGATTCGAAGGTCTAGCCATAACAGATGCGTTAACCGTAGATCTGCTGGCCACCTACAGATTAACTGAGCGCTGCAGCATGAAGGACGTACTCTGCACAGCAATGGTGTCTCCTCCAGTTTTAGTCCTCACATAAGTGCATTTCAAACCCTTAGGTTTGTCACCTCCCCCCCCTCCCCATTTATTTGAATGACTTGGTTTAATTCCAATCTGTGCTTTTCTTGCCCTCTAAAATTGTTTACTGTTTTCCTGGTCCAGTTTTGGGTTCACACAATAATCCCTATTTCATATTCCTACTTTATTTTACATTCATGTATATGTTCATATTGTACCAGATCCAGGAGCTCTTGGATGAAACTGATTTTCTAGTTCCATTTGAATCAGGGTCAAGGCCCGGCTTTGGTACAGAAACTGCTTTGGTTGCCCTTTATTATTACCTCTGTTGGAAGAGAGACAGGGGAAATGTGTTCCTGTTAATTCTCCTTAACTTCTCAGCGGCTTTTGATACCATCGAACATGGTATCCTTCTGGAACGGATGCCTGAGTTAGGGGTGTGTGGCATCACTTTGCAGTGGTTCCAGTCCTACTTAAATGGTCATTCCCAGAGGGTGTTGCTTGGGGAGTGCTTTTCAGCCCTCCGGAGCCTTCAGTGTGGGGTTCCTCAGGGCTCCATCCTATTCCCTATGCTGTTCAACATCTACGTGAAACTGCTGGGTGGGGTTATCCAGAGGTTTGGAGTACATTGTCAGCTGATGGCACTCAGTTCTGTTTCTCCTTTACATCTGCAGGTGAGGCAGTGGAAGTGCTGGACAGGTGTCTTGGACTGGATGAGAGCCACCAAACTGAAACTCAGTCCAGATAAGACTGGGGCACTGTTAGTGGGCGGTTCCCTAGAGCAGATGGCTGGGAGGATGCCTGCTCTTGACAGGGTTATACTTCCTCTGAAGGAGCAGGTTTATAGCTTGGGCGTACTCCTGGGACCTTTGCTATCACTTGAGGCTCAGGTGGCCTCAGTGGCGCGGAGTGCCTTCCATCAGCTTTGGCTGGTGGCCCAGCTACACCCATATCTGGACAGGAATAGCCTAAATACTGTTGCCTATGCTCTGGTAACCTCAAGGTTAGATTACTGCAATGCATTCTATGTAGGGCTGCCTCTGAAGATGGTTCGGAAACTTCAGGTAGTGAATAAGTCAGTGGCCAGGTTGCTCACCAGGGCAAGATGGTTTGAGCATATTACACTGATCCTTGTCCAACTGCACTGGCTACCAGTTAGTTTCTGGGCCCAGTTCAAAGTGCCTTAAATGGCTCAGGTCCACAATACCTCAAGAACCGCCTCTCTCCATATGAACCTACCCAGACCCTGAGATCATCTTCTGAGGCCCTTTTTCATGTGCCACCTCCAAAAGAGGTCTGCAAGGTGGCAACACAAGAACAGGCCTTCTCTGCAGAGGTTCCCCGTTTATGGAATGCTCTCCCCAAGGAGGTTTACCTGGGGCCTTCATTCTACACCTTTAGGTGCCAGGCAAAAATGTTCCTCTTTAACCAGGCCTTTAGTTGACTGACATTCAATGTCCTTTTAAAATGTGTTGGGGTGGGGGAATTACTGAGTTGTTCTTTTTTATTTATTTGTCTTTTGTGGTTTTATATTGTGCTTTTATCCTGTGAAACACCCTGAGACTTGCAATTATAGGGCAGTATCCAAATTCAGTCAGTCAATCAATCAATCAATCAATCAATCCATACTTTGATAAGACACCAGATATGTCATTTGACTCCCATATGGTATCCTTGTGCCACATCACATGTATTATAGTCATCCCTTCAATGTCATCAGTTGTATGTTGACCAAACCTCTCTGGCAGAGGGAATGGAGACTTCCAATTCTGTCCCTGCCTAATGCTTCCCAGGTCCAGTCTTTGGAGAGAACAGAATATAGAATCCTGTATACCACAAAATATATAAATCCTCCCAGATATTGGTTTTAATGTATGTGCTCATTCTGATCCTGGTGGATTCAGTGGTGTCAGGGGTTCAGAGAGAGAGGCACAGGGTAGGCAGGAGATGGAGAGCGAGGGGGAGGAATTCCAAGCCAGCGAGGAAGAGGACGACAATGACTCAAGGGATTCCATGAGTCTTTCCAGCGAATCAGAGGATTCCCAGAAGGGGGCGCCGGTGGTCAGGGCCAGGGGAGGCCCAGGGGGGAAGTGTCAGGAGCAGGGTGCCAGCGGAGGATCCCAAAGTGGCAGCTGGGCGTCAGGACCAGCCTCCCCACCAGAGTGCAGCGAAGGGGGTGGAGTTTCCAGTGTGTCAGAGGAAGCAGCTCCAGCAGCAGAGAAAGGAGGCGGGTCGGAGCAAGCAGCCCTCCCGGAAGGGGCGCGGAGCAGTGAAGGGAGTAGAGTAACTGTCAGAAGGAAAGTTAGAGGTTTGGCGCGCGCCTAGTTCAAATGTAGAGGCGCGCGGAAGTGCAGGGAGCCCGGAGGAGGGGCCAGGTCCCAAAGCCCGCAGGAGGGGGGAAGAGCAGTCTGGGGATTCAGCGTTAGAGGAATCCAGAAGGGGCGCAACCCCAGGGGGCAGAAAGACCCTGCGGAAAAGGAAGGAGAGAAAGAGGTGGAGCAGCGCAAGTCTCTTAAATTGGTGCAGAGGAGGGACTGACTCAGAGGGGACTTCGGCGGTCTAGCGTAAGAGACGTAAGGCTGCGCGCCTGAGATGTCAAGCAAAGCATGAACTGCAATAAACACCTTTGTATTCAAGAAGACGTAGGCGTTGGTCTTTTGTGAGCTAAGACTTGAGGCAGCCTTGACAAGTGGGTTTACCCATATCAGTTGATTCATTGGTTGAATGCTTATTCTGAACCAGTGACACTTTTCTTTTAACAGTGCTTTTTCAGTTAAGGTTCAGTAGAGACTTTAAGATAATGCTTCAGGTTCTGTTCTGGGGTTTGGTGCAGGTTCAAGTTCAGTTTGACTCCCTGCTTTAGACAATCCTGAGTTGGAACCAAGGTTCTCTTCCTAAAATAGAAAGAACCTCCCTCTGACATTAAGATAGAAAGAATGTCCCTCTGACATTGGGAGAGAAACTCTGGATCCAAGCTGTAATGATTTTAAAGATTAAAAGCCAGAATTTTGAATTGTGCTTAGAAATACACAAGGATCCAGGAAACATGTTTTTAACTAACATAATATGTTCAAATCAATGCTGCAATCTTAAATTATTAAAACTACTGTTGACATAATTTATTTTTCTGCCTCCTGAGATCTTGTTTTTTCTGCCTATAAATGTGTGTGTGTGTGTGTTTTCTCTCTCTCTTAATTTACAGGCTGCTGATGGGTTCCTCTTTGTGGTTGGATGTGACAGAGGGAAAATCCTGTTTGTTTCAGAATCTGTTTTCAAGATCCTTAACTATGACCCAGTAGGTGACTTTGTGTACTAAATACTGAATGTAGACAGTATTTCACAGCAAGATATTTAGTATAACTAGGTATTACTAATTGCCCTGACAAGTGCCAACCCTACACCCTTCACCATCACACATGCATTACCATTTTTTACTTTCAGAGGTTTTTGTAAGCTGCCCTGGAGACATGGAGGACAAAGCTATTAACAGCTGCTAGCCACTGTGGCTTTGTTCTACCTCCACTGTCAGATGCTGTATGCCTCAATACCAGTTTCTGGGAACTGCAGGTGGGCAAAGTACTGTTGTTCTTCTGCCCTGCTTGCTGGCTTCCCTGAGGCATCTGATTGCTAACTGAGAACATGGTGCAGGAGTAGATAAGCCATCAACCTGATCCAGTAGGTTCTTGTTGCATTTGAAGGACAGGGGATATATTCACAAAACAAATAAACACACCTTTCCCGTTAATGACTGTTGCAAGAGTTCTTCAATCACATGTGGCTCTTCCCCATTAGTAGCTGACAGTGGACAAGCTTCATCTGCATGTTATTATAGTCGTCCTTGGCACCACCACATAGTTGTTTCCTTACCTATGAATTTCAGAATTGCATGATGTTACTTAAATAGTTTGCCAGCCAGTGCTCTCTGCTATAATGTGAAAATATCTGATATTGTTTAAATGCAGTTTTCTTTGAAAACAAACCCAAAGGTTTGATTCAACAATCCATTATAGTGACTGTGAGTGTGTGACAACACACACACACACCTTAGCCCTTACAGTGGAGTACTTTTAAGTACTCAGTGTTCTTCAGTATACTTGTGTATTTTTGTTAGTGAACGAGATTTGTAATGCACAGCTTATGAGGTAACAATGTTGTGTTCCATTAGACGAGTTTGATTGGGCAAAGTCTTTTTGACTATCTTCATCCAAAGGATGTTGCCAAAGTGAAGGAGCAACTTTCATCTTCAGATGCTTCTCCCAGAGAAAAGCTAATAGACACCAAAAGTAAGTCTTCACCTAAAATTGCTTAGATGTCATGATTTAGCTGTATGTACATATAGCCATGTTCCCGCAGTTCTTATTTATATGAGCTAAATCATGAGTGCTTGGTTGTACTTAATGTGGAAGACTTTAAGACAACTGAAAGTGTCCCAAGAAGCATGTTTTTTGATAATGTCAAGAAATAATTTTAGATATGTAGCAAAATCAGTCATGTCATTTTTACCAGGCATGCTGGTTTATTGTGTGTGTGTTTAGTCAGTAGAAAAACCTGGTGTAGTCTAGCATAGGATAAAATGCTTCACTACCAAGAATCACTGTATTTAAAAATGTTACATGCCATTCCTGATGTAATCAGATACTGTTTCTATCATATACATTATGTAACTTGTAACTGGTTTTTGTATGAGCATCCTCAGAAACCTTTTTTTAAATATTCCTACCAAATTAGTGGTTAAAGCTATATGGAGTTCAAATTCAAACTTCAGTTATACTGTATCATCATGCATAACATTGGTTGGGTTGTAAAATAGATTGCTGCTTTCCCCTCTTGAGTTACTTTAACCATATTTCTTCATTTTCATATTTTAATTCATCAAAGGTTTCTAAGCTATATATGCTGAAATTTCAGAAGCAATATGAAAGTATCTTGGAAGCATGTGAAAGCTGAATAGTGTTTTTATTTCACATGCCAAGTATTTTTGTGTGTTTTGTTCCTTTTTAAACTTTAAAAGCCGGTTTGCAAGTTCACACAGATTTTCAAGCTGGGTCATCATGTCGTCTGTATTCTGGTGCTCGCCGTTCATTTTTTTGTCGAATAAAGTGTATAAAAACCACAGTGAAAGAAGAAAATGAGTCCTTGCCAAACTCAAAGACGAAAGGTATTTCTAAATAAGTGAAATAATATTTTATTTCAAATGCTGTATGTGTTAAATCATAATGTGCTTGAATTATTATTGTATGATTTGAGGCTGCATTTCTGTACACATTTAAATAGAAGTTACTCCATTAATTTTAATGGACAGACTTACAAGTACACATATGTTGGTTTGCACTGTAAGTGATGTAAAATTGTAGAATCCATGAGAATAATATGCTTCTGGAAACGTGAAATGGTTTCCTGAAAGGCACTGAATAGGATGTAAGTTACCAGGACTACAGCAAATATAAAGGTTTCTCAAAAGCTGTTAAGAAATTGGGCAGAATCATTCTTTTTTTAAATGTTTTTTTTGCCTGAATCATTCTTTTTTTAAACGTCTGTAGAAACTTGCATACATAGGACAATGATAATATTTTTAGTAGAATATTGTACAGCTGGTTTCCTTAAATTTAACCATTTTATTGGTTTAATTGTGAGACCACATACCTCATTTTAAAAAATGCAACTTCAACCTCAGCTTTTCCCCATTCTTACTTACCGTATTTTTCGCCCTATAGGACGTACTTTTTCCCCTCCAAAAATGAAGGCTTTCACTGAAGCTATCCGCTTCAGGAAGGCTTCAGGAAGCGATCCGCAAGCCATGGGAGAGCTGCGCGACTTCGCGCAGCTCTCCCACGGATAGCGGAGAGCTTGCCTGCACCCAGAAGCTTGGGGCACGCTGAGCTCAGCACGCCCCAGGCTTCGGGCTTTGCGCAGCTCTCCCACGGCTTGCGGATAGCAGCCTGTTCTGGGGGCTGGGGTCGGGGGAAGCTCGGGCTCCCCCCGCCCCAGCCCCGCACCTGGGGGGGAAATAATTTTTTTTTCTTTATTTCCCCCCCAAAAAAACTAGGTGCGTGGGGTGAAAAATACAGTACTTGTGCAAGTGTATTTCAAAATATGATCTTCTTAAAATGTTACAGCTGTGTTATTTATTTCACATGATTTGTATACCACCTGATTCTAATAAAACCTCAAAGCTATAAGAAGTGGACTTCAGCATTCAAAATACCTAAAACAATAGTAAAACAATCTAAAACAATCTAAATTTATTACCCTCCTTACTTACTTAAACTTCATGTGTGTGGGATGAATATTTCTGTGCTACATCTATTGACTTTATTAAAGAAGAAATGGCTGTCACTAGCATCAGTATTGTATTTGGTGGTCCTATGCTAGTTCAGTAGGGGACTGACATCCTGGCCTGCCTTAATCCAGGCATAGCATTTGGGTTGTAACAAAGTTCCACTGCCGTAATCTGGATGCTTGTACAGAGTAACAATGTTCATTTTATATGAATGAGGTAGTTTTTTGGTTGCATCTTGAGGAGAGTGTTTAATCCGAACACCAAATAAATTCATTTTATCACAATTGTAACATGGACAGTTTAGTAATAACTTCAGTAGTATTTTACCAACAGTTAGGATTGAATAGATAGTTTCTGCAAGATAGGCAATTCCACACATGCATATCCTAATGGGATTAAATAATAATAATAATCCTGCCTCTGTTATATCAGGGGTGGGAAAACTTTTTCAGCCGGAGGGACGTATTTCTTCTGGGCCACATGCCAGTGAGTACAAAAGGCAGAGCAATCAATGAAAATTTCACCTTTGTACACTGGACTAGTTTCTGCAAGCCCCCCTGCAACTCTCTCAATCCTCCATCCTGCACATTGCAGCCAGGCAAAACCCCTTGGGAGTGTGAAGCAGGAGCAGTGAGGGATGTGGCCTGGGGAGAGTCCTTCGGGCCAGAGGACTGCAGCACTGCGTTTGGCCTCCAGGCCTGAAGTTCCTCACCCCTGTATTATATTAATACAACAAGTACCATTTTGGGAATTTTACTAGTTTACCTATTGTTACAATCCAGAGTTTTCAGCACACTTTTCAAATGTAGACAACCACTGGTATCAGTATTTTGCAAGTCTTCTTTTGTGGTGTGGTGTTGCTGAATGTACTGAGGACCCAGTGCTCTTATTTTAGAATAAATGCAGTGTGTCTACTTTATGTAGGCAGTAAGAGCTGAACAATACCCCACTGAAGCCTACTGAAGTCTACCTTTTATCTCTACCTTATCTCTCACTTCAAGTGAAATAGTGCAAGCATATTGCTATAACAGCATCCTAAGCAAGTCAGTTCCACAGAGCAATGCATAAGATTGTGATGTTTTACCTCATTGTTTTACTTCATTGTAATGCTCATTGTTTCTCACAAATAATTTGTACATGTGCCTTGCACTAAATATGGCCAAGGCTTTAGAACCAAACTATGATATATGATGTGCGTGTTTCTGGACTGTAGCATTTGAAACTGTAGATGTGGGGTTCATGTTTCAATGTTCCCCATTTTGGGGAGATGAGAAACGTTTGCAATTATGCCTTTATGTATCCAAATGAAAGATAAATAGAATTTCCTCTTCGTTCTCTTTCCTGATTTCCCCATATTTTTGTATCGGAGAGGGACATTAAGTTTTTAATAGGCTCAAGCTCAAAGTCCCTTCTGCAGTTTATCTGGCTCAATGTAAATCATAACACTTTTGAAATCAAACAGTATTGTACTGGAAAGCAGTCTCTATTACTAAACTATTAAATTTTCTTCTTATATGTAAGAACACGTTTTTATTGCCAGCACCTATGACTTACCTTCTCAAATCATTTGTAAGATTAGAAGTACGCTTCCACAGGTAAGCCAAACCTAAACAGTGTTTTTTTAAAAAAAATTATAACAATTGACACTACAGTCTTGAATTTAATAATTGTTTAGCTCATGCCTTTAGGTTAGTGCAAAATGTAGCTTCTGATGATTTTAGAAAAGAAATTGAAAAACTGTTTTGTGTTTGTAATAAATTAGATCTTAAAAAGTACTGTACTGTTCATTGCACCGGGTATCTGAAGAGCTGGCCTCCTAATGAAGTGGGAGCTGAAGAGGAGGGTGATGCTGAAAAAGACAGCAGTAACTTTAACTGCCTTGTTGCAATTGGGCGATTACACCCTTATGCTGTTCCACAAAAAAGTGGTGAGATAAAAGTCAAGCCAACAGAATTTGTAGCACGTTTTGCCATGGATGGAAAATTTGTTTTTGTAGACCAGCGGTAAGCATTTTTGTCTTTTTAATTTTAAGACAATAGCTCTTAAATTGTGTAAGGTTTCAGTATTTAGATAAGATCCCCTCCCACACTGCAGGCTTCCTGTTAAGTTGCTGTTGCTCTATAAACTACTTCGGAGGCCTCTAGTTAAGTAAGACTTATTTAAAGTATTAGTTTCTAACAAAGGGGTTTTTTTATTTGATTTGATATGAACATTTACAAATAATCTCTGACTTCAAACTGATAGAAGTTTAAATAAAAAATCAAATGTGGTTTCAAAGTTGAATTCAATTTTAGAATTGTGGTGATGTTTCCTTTTATTAGATCTAATAATACAAAAGGATTACAATGTAGCATTTGTTCGTCCTTCTGTTTTGGCTATATATGTTAACTTTAAGTTTTAGTATTTTTTTCCCCAGAAACGAGCATCTGTTGCTTTTCGTATGCATGAGGGACCAGAGTAAAGTGTTTAAAAAGCCCGTTTCAGATGTTTTCAGAATCTGTAGTGTGTTCATGTTTTCTTTATAGTGCAACAGTTATTTTAGGATACTTACCACAAGAGCTTCTAGGAACTTCATGTTATGAGTACTTCCACCAAGATGATTACAGTCATCTAACAGAGAAACACAAAGCAGGTAAAGTATGGTAGTATTTTACTTCCTGCTACTGTTAGCTTTTTTTTTCTTCCAGATTTAAAATGTTTTCTTGAGTAGTGGCTCTGTAGTGAAGGTCATGCTTTGCTTGCAGAGCGTTCCAGTTTTGCATTTCTGGTACAGCTGAGGAAGAACTCTTGTCTGAAACTCTGGAAAGCCACTGCCAATCAATTGGGGGTCCAGGGGCCCCTGGAGGTCCACGGCCCCATCCCTTGCTTTCCCCCAACTATTTTTTTGGTCATTTTTGCATGGTAATACCACAAATTTTATGGTCTGTTTTAGCACTGTGTGATTTTTCAATATATTGGCCAAAATCGGTTTTGAATCATACTGTGATAATGATTTTGACTCAGCAATGTATCACTCCTTGTGCAAGGGAGAGCAGGGCAGCCAATTTCAAGGCACCACTGATATCGCACGATGATCTTAGCCAATAATGCTGCTGATCTGAGCTCCCTTCCCTCACGCTGAGGAAGACCGTGGCAGCCGATAACATTGCAGCCTTTCCTCACGCTGAGGGAAAACAGGGCAGCCGATTGCCCTCACTTCAAGGCACCGTGGCGTTACCTTTCCCTGGTGCTGAGGCTGAGCAGATTTTCTCAGTCCGCAGGAAAGCAGCAGCAGCAGCCACAGTGGACCTGCATCTTCACTGGCTGCCACCAGTGACGGCGACTTGGTGCACCCCTATCCCCTCCCACTCAAACCATGCGGTGGAGGTGGTTTCCTCTTCCTCTCCTCCCCCCACCCACCTGATCTCCATGGCTGTTCCTTCTCTCATCCCCATGCCTGATCTGCACACACTTCACCCGCCGGATCTCTGTGACTTCTCCTTCCCTCATCTCTACACCTGATCTTCATGCATCCCACCTACCCACTCTGTGATTACTCCTTCCCTCATCCCTACACCTGATTTCCAGTTTCAGTGATACATCGGAATATCATGATGTTTAGCTGCTGATACATCACAATGTTGAAAACCAGGTATTGCTCAGCCCTAGTCTGGTTTTTTTGGTATACCTAAAATCCTTTGCTTAGTATGGGCTACCCCACATTTTGTTCAAAAAATTGCTTTGCAGAGGTAGCTGCCATAGAGTTATCAAAATTTTCAAAAGTAGGGTGTCCTTGCAGTGGCTTTTGAAAAATAGGGGATCCTCAGTAATTAGCTAATTGGGAACCACTGGTGTAGACCAAAGGTGGGGAATATTTTTCAGCCTGGGGGTTACATTCCCTTCTGGTGGTGGCAGGATCAGAGACAAAAATGAGTGGAACAATACGTGTGAATTTAACCTTTGTAGTACTGTATAGGCTAGTTTCTTCATATTCACACATCCCTCTCCACCCAGACAAGCAAGAAGCGTTATCAGAGTTCACAGCCCTATTCCTCCCAGGCAAAAATACTTGAGGAGGGTGAAGGGTTGGTGAAGGGTGTGGCTCAGGTTGGTGTGTTGCCTTGGGAAAGCCCAGAGAACCAGGCAGAGAGGCCTGGAGCATCTGAGGCTCCCCTTCCCTGGTATAGAATAGTAAGCTGTATGGCATACAGGTCTGACTTGGTATAAGACAGTTTCCTGTGTTGCTTCCTACTGGAAGCATAAATAAATAGTGCCTGGGAAAGCCCTACTTCCCTCAAGTTCACTTTCCTGCCTTCAACACAAGGTGGTGATGCATCCCAGTTTGATGAGCTACTACCAGCAGCGAGAACTACCCTTCAGGTAGGAACCAATGTTTCTTTTTCCAGCCAGAGAAATAACATTTTTAAAGTGTTCTTTTTTCTCTCGCTTCTGGCGAGATGGGAGAAGGACCCAGCATCCAGAACCATGGCTTGCTGTCGTTGCTGTATGTGGCCACTTTTTCTTTCATCAGAAATTGATTCATCACCTCTTACGTTTTAGCACGTTCCCTTTTTCTTCCTCTGTTTCTCATTCATTAAATGAATGATCATGAGAATCATGTTATCAGCATCATAGGGATGACGTCTTCTGAATGGTCTTTATGCAGCCTAACGTTTTACAGTTGCTGTATGAACATAGGTTTAGTTGAAACACATTTAAACACTGGTTTTGTTCATAACTTGTTTTATATTTCCCCCAGTGCTTCAGAGTAAAGAAAAGATATTCACAAACTTCTACAAATTCAGAGCAAAAGATGGCTCTTTTGTCACATTAAAAAGTCAGTGGTTTAGTTTCATAAATCCATGGACCAAAGAACTGGAGTACATTGTGTCAATCAACACGGTTGTTTCGTAAGTTACAGTCTTATTCATATAAGCTATGAATAAACTATTTTAAATATTTACCATAGCTTAGATATTATTAAAAGACAAGATTAATTAAAAGAATGCATGTGCATTCACTGCCTATGAGCTTGAATGTAAAAAAATAAGTTTCCTTTTGTATTTAATCATGCAATATTAATGCAGGTGGTCTATTTTGGTTCTGTCCTGCTGACCCTCATACTAACATAATGTCACCTTGTATGCTAGGACTTCAGTTGTAAATGGAATAAATATTAATGTATTAATTTTTAAGCCAATTTCTGGCTCTACTGCTGCATAGCAAGTGCTAGCTTTTATTAAAAGATATTCAGTTTTCCATTGCACCAGCCCATGTCAGGCTTGTTGTGTTGGATAAATAGATTAGATCTTTCTAATTAGGATGGCAATCCTTACTTGGCAAATGTTAGGTTATCCCATCCTGGTGTCCTCCAGATGTTTTGAACTACAATCTCATCAGCCTCTGCCTCCATGGTTATCATCCAAGGGATGGTGGGATTTGGCTGGGGGAAGCTGGGAAGGGCTGCTTTAGGGAATGGGGATGGTGATGATTCTTTATTGAAAACTCCAAAGTACAAAATATCATGTGCACAGAGTAAGATAAAAACAAAAAAGAAGAAGAAACAAGAAATAGTACTCATGTAGAAAACATGTATATTATTTACATCTGGGAATGCTCCTTTATGTAACTTTTCTGCTCTGGTGCATTTTAGAGATCATAATGAATCAGATGAGGAGGCCCTGTTACCCTGCAGTTCCCTGTCTTCAGAAGGCAAGTACACATGCTTACAGTGAGAATGATACACACAATATTACATAAATCAAATGGGGTCTTCACACTGGGCACATTACTAAAAAAATAAAAAATAAATAAATCCTGATACAAGCTGCAGACCTGTCTGTTAAATTAATAAAGTGACCAACATATGAAGAGGCATGCAAATACCTCTATGAACTAAAAGGTATTAAGAGCCCTCCCCCAAATATCAGTTCCCACCTCCCCACTTTGCATTGCAAATAGTTTGTGAAATTGTGTACATCCCATACCTTTAAAGCACATCCATGCTGCCCCAAGAATCCTGGGAACTGTAATTTACAGGCTACAATTCCTAGCATTCTTTGGTGGGTGGGTGGGTGTCTTAAATATGCTTTAAAGCCTTGGTGTGTATGCAACCTGAATAAAATTTCAAAAAACAGTATGTTTTTGTGGCACAGGAAATTTGCAGTCCTTTTAACCCTTTGTTTTTAGTTCCACAGTGAGACAATGTTGTTAGATCAGGAACCATATCAACTATCACTTATCAGTAGTAGAATACCATTTTTATTATTTAGAATATTTTTTTCTTGCCTCTTGATCAAATGATTCTCACATATTAGTAACACCTGCTGTTAATAATGTTAAGGCATTAAAAGATTTTAAAGATCTAGCCCCATTGGTTGTAGCCTTTTTGCTACAATATTTTGACACTTGTTTCTTTATATGGTGATGTATATACACACCACTTACAATTTAGATGATAGCAGCGCCACTTGTTTCACCAGCATGTTGTGGCAAAACTTTAACACCACTTTGGAGAGCTTTACGCCAGTGTGGCGTAATGGTTAGAGTGCTGGACTGGGACCTGGGAGAGCAGGGTTCAAAGCCCCACTCAGCCATAAAGCTCACTGGGTGACTTTGGAGTCGGTCAGCATCTCCCAGCCTCTTCTACTTCACAGGGGTGTTGTGAGAATGAAATGGGGAGAAGCAAAGCCATATACCCCACCTTGAGATCTGGCATATAAACATAACAAACAAAGCATCCTTCACATGGGTGAATGTGCAAACCTTTTATGAAGAGCAATATAAGGAGTGAAGTGCATTCACTCACCTTCAGTTTGATATGAAAATGCCATATTAATCAAAGGCCAACGTTGTTCCCTCCATGTGGCATTGGACTGCATCAGCTTCAGTCTTATGGGCAGTGACTAGGAACGATGAGAGCTGAAGTCCAGAACCATCTGGAGGGGACCATGTTGACAACTGCTGTTCAAAGGTACCCCTTAACATTTACATACCCCACATAGAAGCTGTCTGGATGTACACACCTTCCCTTTCTTTTAAATCTGTGCTCTGCAGACAAATAACTCATAGATTTGTATTGCGTGCGTCTTACTCTTGTAGGGTAAAAGCTGATGGTGCAAGAGAAAAGTGAATTACAATTAATAATAATAATAATAATAATAAATTATTTATATCCCGCCCTCCCCAACCAAAGCCGGGCTCAGAGCGGCTAACAACAGTAAAATAATACAACATTCTAAAATCATTTCATTATAAAATCAATTCAAATCAAATTAATGGAAACCATTGGGCTAGAGTTTTTTATATATATATATATATATATATATATATATATATATATATATATATCTCCAATATAAAATTGTACAAAACAAAACATCCAATTTATCACCAACATCATCTTTTTGGACTTCCATCAACTCGACTGATAATTTTTCGTCTTAATCACTTCATTCACATTCCCTCATTAGTATTGCACTATAATAATATCTTAATCTACCTTATTTTTTATACAATATTTCTGCTATTGATTTTCACAGAACTTCCTGAAAACTTACAAACGGGCTAGAGTTCTGTGAGGATTGCCAAAAGAGGGGGTCAGGCTGTGCCCTGGCCAAAGGCCTGGTGGAACAGCTCTGTCTTTCAGGCCCTGCAGAAAGATGTCAAGACCCGCAGGGCCCTAATCTCTTGTGACAGAGCGTTCCACCAGATCGGAGCCACAGCTGAAAAAGCCCTGGCTCTGGTTGAGGCCAGCCTAACCTCTTAAAATTTTCATCATATTCTGTGAAAAGATTGAAGTTTCTATCCTTGTTTATTATTTCGGAGCAAGGAGTTGGAATCCTATATTAACTGGGGGGGGGGGGAATACTGAAATTGAAGGCTACGTTACATGAAAGGGAAAGCATTCCATGTATGTCATCAAAATTGAAACAAATGGTTGTGAATAGGATGTATTTATAACACAGTTAAAATTACTTTTAAGCGTTAAAACAGATAATCTGCCTCCGAAGCTTCTCTCAGTGCCAATGTAAACCAACAAACATATAGAAAGAGAACCTGCCCAAGTGACGCTGCCACAAAAACCACACGCATATACCATTTTTGGGGGGAAAGAAAAATAATATGTGAATTTACCACCCACCATCTCCCCACCACTCGCTCCTACCACCTATCTTCCCCTTCAACCCTATACTAGATACATTTTCTTACATGGAACATAACTAAGAAACTCCATGATAAAAAGAGAGAGAAAGACGTTGCATGTTCTTTTGTAATTCAAAAAAATCTTTAATAAAAATTATTTCAATAAAATAAAATAGATAATCTGTTACAGTGGGAAACAGTGTAAAACTAAATAAAACCATCTTGATTCCCTGTCTCTTAAAACATAGATACAACAAAGCCACCATTTCTTGGTGTACCAGGGATGTCTACAGGAACTGTACTTGGGGCTGGAAGCATAGGAACCGAAATTGCAAATGAAGTCTTAGATTTACAAAGGTAATAACTTTTTTTTGCAGCAAACGCTAACCATTTTTTTTATTTTAAAAGGTGAACTAACCATGGCCAAAACTGAAATAAAAGCTTTAGAGGACCAGATTCTAGACCACTCTGAGGGATCCATTTCAAGAGCTAGGTCACCCTCTCATGTTAGTTGAAGGGTTTTCAAAGGGAGAAAATTGTAAGTAAAAAGTAAAGCATAAGGTGTTGAAACAAGTTCCTTCTGAGAACCCTTGGACCCTGGAAATTCAAATCTCTAAAGATCCACTACCACCAGCCTGTAATCCCGCATATTTAATAAAATGGGAGATCTGTGTAGTGGAGTGGATTGCCAACCCTTAATACTTTCACTTGAAATTAAAGTAGGGAGCACTTGGAAAAAGAACAGGAGCCTGCACCATTTTAGCAGTGGCTGCCCAGAATCACGAGGTTCATATTCCTCCAAGTTCTGAGGTCTTGCTTAATCTGTTTAGGCACCAGTCAAAAATTAAATTTAAACAAATAATTGAAATTTGGGGAGGGGGGGTTGGTAGTCCTAAATAATGCCTTGATCTGGCTTTAATTGTGATCCCTGAAGTCATGCCGCCTGCCAGCTGAGTGTGAGGGCCAAAGTTCCTGAAGAGTTTCCAACTAACTGTAATTAAGGCATGGCCCTGACACACTTGATTGTGCACATGACAAAGTATGGAATTTGTCCTCACAAAATATGATGTCCACCATCTCGGGTGGCTTTAAAAGAGGATTAGGCAAATTCATTGAGGAACCATAGTAGTTAAGGTATGTTCTAACTTCATAGGCCCCTGAATACCAATTGCTGGGAATTACAAGCAGACAGAGAGCTCTTGTTCTAAGTTCCATCTTGTGGGTTTTCCATAGGCATCTGGTTGCCCACTGTAAACAGGATACTGGATTAAATGGGCCTTTGGCCTGATCCATCAAGGCTGTTAGTACATCCTTTTGGTTCACTGGCATCCCATTCTACTAAAACTTTGCAGAACTAAAGAATCACTTAATCAGCTTAGCCCATAGTTTTAAACAACACAGCCACTTGATCATTTAGTCTGAATTTTAGGACTCTTTTATAGGACTGAATATGATCAAGTTCCTCCAGAGATGGAGGAACCTTGGAGGGAAGGGGTGGAGATCTTAAAGGGCAAATGTTGCTAATGTTTCTGATACAGCAGCACTAGTTAATAAATAATATCAAGTGTTTTAGAGGCCAGATTGTTTGTGTTTGCCAAATATTTTGTGAGGAGGATTAAATGTCATCTTTTGTTTTTATCTAGGTTACATACATCTCCACCTCCTGGTGAGTTAAGTCCATCAGATCTGATGAGGAAGTCTTCTTCCCCAGTAGACGGTAGTGATGTGAGTATCCATAAGCCACTGGTCTCTAAGAAAGGCTATCTAATATCCCAGTAACTTGATTTGATCTTTCTTACTAGCCCTCTAAACATGTTACACACATGAAGAGAATCTGTGTATAGAGCAAGGAGGAGTGCCAAGCCTCTTGTCTCACCCCCAGCATCATGTCTGAAGATCTCCTGTGTGTAATGCAGCTGCTAATGTGTAAAGGTTCTACATGAGAGGCCCACCTGTGCAGTTGGGGCCCTGACCACGGGAGGCCCCATATGTGTGGGCAAATTGCTCCTGATGGGGGTTCCTCTGATAGAATCATAGAATCATAGAGTTGGAAGAGACCACAAGGGCCATCGAGTCCAACCCCCTGCCAAGCAGGAAACACCATCAGAGCACTCCTGACATATGGTTGTCAAGCCTCTGCTTAAAGACCTCCAAAGAAGGAGACTCCACCACACTCCTTGGCAGCAAATTCCACTGTCGAACAGCTCTTACTGTCAGGAAGTTCTTCCTAATGTTTAGGTGGAATCTTCTTTCTTGTAGTTTGGATCCATTGCTCCATGTCCGCTTCTCTGGAGCAGCAGAAAACAACCTTTCTCCCTCCTCTATGTGACATCCTTTTATATATTTGAACATGGCTATCATATCACCCCTTAACCTCCTCTTCTCCAGGCTAAACATGCCCAGCTCCCTTAGCCGTTCCTCATAAGGCATCGTTTCCAGGCCTTTGACCATTTTGGTTGCCCTCCTCTGGACACGTTCCAGTTTGTCAGTGTCCTTCTTATACTGTGGTGCCCAGAACTGGACACAGTACTCCAGGTGAGGTCTGACCAGAGCAGAATACAGTGGCACTATTACTTCCCTTGATCTAGATGCTATACTCCTATTGATGCAGCCCAGAATTGCATTGGCTTTAGCTGCCGCGTCACACTGTTGGCTCATGTCAAGTTTGTGGTCAACCAAGACTCCTAGATCCTTTTCACATGTACTGCTCTCAAGCCAGGTGTCCCCCATCTTGTATTTGTGCCTCTCATTTTTTTGCCCAAGTGCAATACTTTACATTTCTCCCTGTTAAAATTCATCTTGTTTGTTTTGGCCCAGTTCTCTAATCTGTCAAGGTCATTTTGAAGTGTGATCCTGTCCTCTGGGGTGTTAGCCACCCCTCCCAATTTGGTGTCATCTGCAAATTTGATCAGGATGCCCTTGAGTCCATCATCCAAGTCGTTGATAAAGATGTTGAATAAGACCGGGCCCAAGACAGAACCCTGTGGCACCCCACTAGTCACTCTTCTCCAGGATGAAGAGGAACCATTGATGAGCACCCTTTGGGTTCGGTCAGTCAGCCAGTTACAAATCCACTGAGTGGTAGCATAGTCAAGACCACATTTTACCAGCTTCTTTACAAGAATATTATGAGGCACCTTGTCAAATGCCTTGCTGAAATCAAGGTAGGCTACATCCACTGCGTTCCCTTCATCTAGCAGGCTTGTAATTCTGTCAAAAAAAGGAGATCAGGTTAGTCTGACATGACTTATTTTTCAGAAATCCATGCTGACTATTGGTGATCACAGCATTCCTTTCTAGGTGCTCACAGACTGTTTGCTTAATGATCTGCTCCAGAATCTTGCCTGGTATTGATGTCAGACTGACTGGGCGGTAATTATTTGGGTCCTCTCTTTTCCCCTTTTTGAAAATAGGGACAACATTTGCCCTCCTCCAGTCTGCCGGGACTTCGCCTGTTCTCCAGGAATTCTCAAAGATGACTGCCAGTGGTTCTGAGATCACATCTGCCAGTTCTTTTAATACTTTTGGATGCAGTTCATCTGGCCCTGGAGACTTGAATACATCTAAACTAGCCAAGTATTCTTGTACTATCTCCTTAGTTATTCTGGGCTGTGTTTCCTCTGCTGAATCATTTGCTCCAAATTCTTCAGGTCGGGCATTGTTTTCTTTATCGGAGAAGACTGAGGCAAAGAAGGCATTGAGGAGTTCAGCTCTTTCTGTGTCCCCTGTTTGCATTTCACCATCTTCTCCTCTGAGTGACCCCACTGTTTCTTTGTTCTTCCTTTTACTACTGAACATACCCATAAAAGCCTTTTTGTTGCTTTTAACCTCTCTAGCAAGCCTGAGTTCATTCTGTGCTTTAGCTTTTCTGACTTTGTGTCTACACGTGCTGGCTATTTGTTTGAATTCCTCTTTGGTGGTTTCCCCCTTTTCCATTTTTGTACACATCCTTTTTAATCTTAACTCAGTTAAAAGTTCTTTAGATAGCCACCCTGGCTTCTTTAGGCACCTTCCATGTTTCTGTCTCATTGGTATTGCCTGACGTTGTGCTTTTACTATCTCCCTCTTAACAAACTCCCAGCCATCATGAACTCCCTTTCCTTTTAGTATTACTGTCCATGGGATCTCACCCAGCACTTCCCTAAGTTTTATGAAGTCAGCTTATGATGTCCATCCTCAACACACATTTTGGGCAGGGTTAGTAGCATAGTCCTCATCTTTGGCTCCACACATGACCTCATGTAGCATGTGAAGGAGGCCACTGTTATTTCATATTATAGCAAAATTTCTGTAACCAACTCTGCTGTTTCCAAACGGCAACAACTCTTTCCTTTTGGGAGCCTGAAAGCTTCCGACTGTGGGATAGCTGAGTCAGTAGTGCTTGAGACCGTTAATCTCAGGGTTGTGGATTCAAGCCCCTTGTTGGGCAAAAGAGTCACGTTGCAGGGGGTTGGACTAGATGACCCTAGGGATTCCCTCCAACTTCTGTGACTATAAACTACCTGGATAGGAGCAACTATTACTTCTTGGTAAGTATCCTCTGAAGCAGTTCAGTTAGGGGCCTGTTGTCATACTTTGTCAAGCTGTATTTTCAGCACAAAATTAGTTCTTTCTTTCTTTCTGGTGGTTTTATTGTACTATTTTAGAGGGCATTCCAAATACAGAATTGTTGCAGCTGTTACTCATTACATCAAGGATGGGAAATCTTTTTCCCCTAGAGGGCTGCATTCCCTCATAGCCAGCCGTTCTGGAGCCACAGGTCAGTGGGAGGCAGGGCCAAAGTGGGTGTAGCTGAAGGGGACAAGTCCAGTCCACACTCATGCGTACACACCAGCATGCACACATATAACACACTCTTCAACATTGTCACATGTAAGCAGACACATAGCACACGTTCCTCCTTGGATGAAGAGGCAGTGCCTCCCTCCTTTGCAGATCTCACAGATTTCCTGCTGGTTTTTTAATTTTCCTTTGAGTTGTCTGTGAAGGCAGAGCTGGACAAAACATCACTTCCGATTGTTCTCACGTGCCTGCCATAATGGGCCAGATCTGGACTGTGGGCTGCCAGTTCCCTGCTCCTGCATCACTTGTAAACAAAGCCATCTAATTTCGACAGTGTATCCCTAAGAATCAGCATTGAAAAGTATTTGATTTCTGTAATATCATTTTTGTTGATTTCTGGCTATTGTCACCATTTTCGTGTGTGCTCAGGTGCCAAAGAGAGACATTCTTCAGCTGTGTCCTTCAGGAATATTAGATGTGGAAACCTCAGGGCAACACCAGGGCACTATTCCACTCCCCAGCAATGAACCTCTTCTCAGTAAGCTTCCCTTCTGTTTATTTCCTCTTAATGAAGTATTTGTAAGTCTCTGCAGAAGTAGATTGTGTAACTGAGGGTGTTTAGTTCCTACCAATTTGAGATTACCAGCGCTCCTGTTCATAGAATCCTTAGGTTAAAAGAAATAGATGTCACCTGTGGATGCAGGTGATCCACACCAAAAAAAAAAGGAAGAAAACTGAAATCTTTCATTCAGCAAGCCCAGTCAGCTTAGAAATGCAGCTCACAAGTATTGGTTAACCACTGCCACCAAGGGCAATATGATACTCATACCTGATACTTTGCATTCTGTCCATAGTGCTTTTATTTCTGTAAATTGACTCATCTCAAACTTCATTCTGTTTTGAAACAATGTTTCAGTAAAGAATGAAGGTAAATCAGGAATGCCTGCTCCCAATAAACGTCTTAAGCTGTTTAAGCATAAAATATAAATCCTCAGGATGTTTTTAAAATAAAAGATATTTTAACAGAACTGAATAAAGCCTACATTTAATATGTACATTTTTAATGTGTGTTAAGATGCCTCTTTTTCAATGCAAAAGTGATAGGGCTTTTGAAGAAAACACTCATGAGAAATCTGTTAATATTTTAAGGTTTCCTTTTTGTGGTAACATAAATTCAAGCTAGTCAGAATCATTCTCAGCAGGGCATTTTGAACCACCCACTTAAGAAACATTAAGCAGCAGTTTACCATGTGGCAGAGTTAAGCTCTCTATTCACAGGCAAAGAGCTGCAGTTGAGAGGTGGAGGGACCTGCTTTGGCTGCAGAAGACCTCTGGTTAAGCCAGGTAGGGTTGGGAACCCCCTGTCTGAACTCCTGGAGAGCAGCTGCCAGTCAGTACAATTGTGTTTTCATTCTTTGTATCCCAGTCTTGGCCATCTTGGCTGCCTTGCAGCATGTGCAAGGAAATACAAGATGTGATGTGTAAAGTTATTTGTGCCAAAAGGATGTTGCTTGTTTCAGAGTAAACAATGAATTACAGAGGCTGATTTTTGCATAAAATGGTGACATTTTTTGTTTTTTTCCTTAGGTGATGCTTCTCAACTGGATTTTGATGCAGTTTGTGGAAATGACACTGCAATGGCTGCTCTTATGAATTACTTGGAAGCTGAAGGGGGTCCGGCAGAGCTCAGTGACATGCAATGGACTCTTTAGTATTACACAGCTAAGAAGGAATTTAAGCTACTTTGATGCACAAAAATAATAATCTGTTCTCTAGTACTGTACTAGTACCTTTTAAGACTTTAATTCAAATTTACAATATCTATATTTTAAAATGACTTTGGCCTTATTCTCAGTCATTTTGGCTGCATATGTTGAAAACATGTAATTTTTAAAAAATGACACAGGACCTCAATTTTGTTACTGATATACACTTGTTGACCGGAATCTTAAAACAGTTATATTTTTACAAAAAAATTTAAAAGAGAATCTACTGTAAAATGGGCATAGAGATTTTGTTCTGAAATATTCCTGTCTATTTATATGTGTTTTCCTTGTTCCTAATTTATTACTGCTACTTGAGTAGCAGTACTGTACTTGAGTACTGTACTAGAACTAGACTTTTTATGTCCATTCCTGGAGGAGCTCAAGTCCTTAAGATATTTTATTTTGCTGTTGAATTGTTTGAACCCAGGGATCAAGAAACAAGGAATGGAAGTTTCTTACAAAGTGAGCAGTCATTCATATTGATCATGAAATTGTGCATTGTTCCAGTGTAAAACTGCTACAGGAAAGACTTAAAACAACAAAATTTATTATTTTCTAGTGTTTGCAGTAGTGATAGAAAACATCTCTCTCTCTCTCTCTCTCTCTCTCACACACACACACACACACACACACACACACACACAAATTTTGAGCAGGGAAGCCAACGATCTTTCAGTAATATACTAAAATGCACTTGTCACCTTTGGAGTAGGTCTTGAGCACCCATGTATCTTTAATGCATAATATGGAAATCATATCTGACAATACCCAAGGTACCCAAGCCTTGAAGAAAATATAGATATACTAGAATTGTTTGTTTGTTTTTTCAGAGGGCTGAGCTTTGTAGTTGCAACCCTATGCATGTCTACTCAGAAGTAACCCCCACTGAGTTCAGTGGGACTTACTTACAGGTAACTGTACAAGATTGTAGCATTGGCCATTAGTATTCCTGTTCTAGGCTCTGTATTATACAATACAATGTATTATACAATACAGGCTGTCCATTTTGAATACATGCAAATGCTATGATTATGTTATGTAGGGATGTTCTAACACACTGTGCCACTGAAGTGCATTTTTTTCACATAGTGAGAGTCCTTCTGAAAATGTGGAGTACTGGTCCCCTGCCATAAAGTAATTTAAACTTGAACATGCAGATAAACACCTACAAATTTGAACTTTAGAAAAACAATTACTGCCTATACTAAATAGCAATTTATTTTAAAATTCTAAAGTCTTTACTTTAAATATGATTGCTCCCTTGAGAATAGTGAGTAAGATTAGAATTTTTTCGTATGTAATGTACTGTATAAGTCTGTATGTGAAGACACCTTCACACATTCATGAAATAGATACATGCATCAGTAATGTACTAGCAATTGGTGAGGCCATGTGTAATCAGTGTTTTGGGGGTCATTTATAATATGTTATATGCAGTACCTGTATAATATTTGCCTTTTCCACATTATGGATTATACTGCAAGTATACTGCATAGAGTTACAGAACTGCTAAATTTGTAACTTGTGAAACATACCAGGGAAATAATTCTAGGGTGAGAAATTGTGAGTAGTTATGCCCAATAGCCACTAGAGGTCTTACTTGTACTGTATTGTAACAGCATTAATGTATGAGTTGCACTGATACACATATAATGTTGCAGTACATATATGAAAGGGCAGAGACAATCATTTTAGGGTTATTTAATCTCTAGAAAATGACAGGACATTTTCCATTGGATGTAACTTTTTCCAGCCTCACTATTTTTGTTAGAATCATAGAGTTGGACAGTCTTTAAACCTCTTTTGCTGACCGCCAAAGAAAGAAGTTGGAAGGAACCCCAAGGATCATCTTGCCCAACCTCAGTTCAAGCATGCATGGCAGGTGGCCACCATCCAACCTCTCCAAGGAAGGAGGGTCCACCAAACTCTCCAGGAAGTCTGTTCCACTGTTGAACAGCTCTTACTGTCAGAAACCTTTTCCTGATGTTTAGTCGGAATCTCCTTTCTTGCAGCTTGAATCCATTGGTTTGGGTCCTCCCCTCCGGAGCAGGAGAAAACAAGCTTGCTCCATCTCCCATGTGACAGCCCTTTAGATATTTAAATATGGTAATCAGATCTCCTCTCAGGCTCATCTGGCCCAGGCTAAACATACCCAACTCCATCAACCGTTCTTCTTAAGGCTTGGTTTCAAGACCCTTGATCGCCTTCCTTTGCACATGTTCCAGCTTGCCCAAAACTGGACACAGTGCTCCTGGTGTGGTCTGACCAAGGCAGAATAGAGTGGGAGTGCTACATCCCTTGATGGTGACACTGGACTTTTGTTGATGCAATCTAGAAGATCATTAGCTTTTTTTTGCTGCTGTTGACTCATAATACACTTGCGGTCAATTAAGATCCCTAGATCCTTTTCACATGTATTACTGACAGTCCAGGTGTCCTCCATCTTACATTTGTGCAGCTGGTTCTTCCTGCCCAAGTGTAAAACCATACATTTGTCCCTATTGAAATTCATTTTGTTAGTCTTGGCCCAGTTTTACAATCTCTTATATTGAATCCAGATTTGTCACCTGCAGCATTAACTACCCCTCCCAGTTTGGTGTCATCTGCAGATTTGATGGGTATCCCCTCAATTCCTTCGTCCAAGTTGTTAATAAAGACATTGAACAACAAGGGACCCAGGACAGACCCTACGTCACCCCACCTTTCACTATTTCCCAGGATGACAAGGAACCATTAGTGAGCACTCTTAGGGTTTGGTCAGTCAACCAGCTGCAAATCCACCTAACAGTTCCCTCATCCAGTCCACATTTTACCAGTGTCTCCACAAGAATATAATGGGGGACTTTGTCAGAAGCCTTACTGAATTAAATATAACACTGCTATCTAGCTGGCAACAGAAGTTAGGGCCAGCAAGGAGGCCGGGACACTTCCCATGCCAGGGGAGCACCAAGATGTAGTGCCCAGTGCCTGTGCACTTCCTTGCCTATCCAGAAATAGAAGTGAAACTGACAGTGGTGGTGGTGTTCCCCCTCTCCTTTTTAAGGAAAATACTAAAATCATGTACGTAGCTGTATATGGAGCATGTGTAAAAGGTTGCTGACAAAGCTAAACATGGCTCAAAATGTAGAGTAAGAATAAACGTCTCTAAGCAACCTCCAGCCCCTTGAATATATTATTTGCCCCCCCTTTGATAAGCAATAATTTTTTTAAAGGGTGTGAATGGATGATCTGAAGCAATAAGGCTTGGCGGCAGAGCTTTTAAAGAGAATTATTGACCTCTTGGCTTCCCCATGACCCAGTACATTCTCATAGTGTCCATCTTGCAAAGTGAGTTGCTTTCCAGAGGTACAGGGTATTGAAAGAACCTTGTTTGATCCTGTGGAAACACCCACAAGCCTCCTGAATTTGACTTCTGTGTAAACAGCCTTGGAACAAGCAAAGGTGGTGGTGGTGGTGGTGGTGGTAGTAATAATAATAATAATAATAATAATAATAATAATAATAATAGTGGTGGTTTTGTTGGGCCCCCTTAATGTTTAGGTAGATAGCAAAATGAAACAAGATAACTAATACTTTAATATTAAGAAAAGGATAGTATTAAAAAACTGATTCTCTTCTGTCCCACCTAATTGTGAACTTGTTGGATGAGTGAACAAAAAATTTTAAGGGTTCAAACGGACATCCTAATGCACATTTGGCACTGTGAACTCTTCAGGTAATGACACTTGGGATCTTTTATGATGGTTCATGTATCATTTTCTTTGTTGGGGCAAATCATCTCTGGAACTAGCTTTATTCAGTTTAATAGGACAGTGTTTTTCCTTAGTGTGAGGTGCAGTATCTGTTCATTTGCTTTGTTATTAAATTCTTGTTTTTCCACTTACAGAGCTTGCCCTTTCCTCTTTACCAGTTTCTACGTTTTGTAAATAGTTACGCTAACTAATGTGTAGGAAGAATAAATATATATTTTATACAAAAATGTAGTGTGTGTCTATGCATTTTTCAAAGTACCATATTCAATTTATTTTTAATTTCTTGGTTTGGACCTTGTGGGTTCCTATTTTTTTAGCTCAAGGAGGACCTCATTCCCTCAGGAGTCAGGCAGTGCCTACTGGTGGTGGGCAGGATCGAGCCATGCTCTAGTGTCTCTGCTACCCTGCTGCCCATTTTTAGCTCCTTGCCACCCACATGGCATTGGGCTGAGGACTGAGCTTGCCCGCCGGGGATACACTCTAGCCCTACCCACCCGCAGTTTTCCGCATTGATGTGTTTTGATTGCTATGGCTCAAAAATGCCCATCATGATATTGTTCCTTGAGCAAGATAAACTTCTGCCTTAGCATACCACCATAAAGATTATGTAATCGTTTTGTAGAATTGTGTGATACACAATTTCATTGTGCTGTTCCCAGGCTTACTTATTCATTGTGGTCACTATAAGTTCCTTGCTTTTGTCAGCATGCAAAAATATACGCATCATGCAGTTTGGACATGGCCAGTAGGATTTCGTCATTCAGTTGCCCCCTGTAATGATGGCTAAGTGTGTGTTACAATATAGGCTTCCCATGATTTCCCCTCCCCCGCCATGTGCTGTGGAGAATTAGTAAACCCTGAGATAATTGTTTGTCAGAATGCTATTAAAAATTGAAATTTTACAATATTGAAGATTGCAAATACATCTAGATGAAAACTTCTGCATGAAGCTGCCTTTGTTTATTAAAACGACCTTCCTTGATGTCAAAATCTTTGGAACAGCCAAAATAATTTTAAATGCATAATGTTTATTTTATTTATATTATAATGCATAATGTTTATTTTATTATTTTATTTATTTCAAAATTTCATTTAAAATTTTTAAAATATTTATAGACTGGTTTTCCTGGTACAGCCCATGCAGAGAAACTTAAAATAATTAAAAATATACAGTTATATTAAGTATAATTATATTAAGTGTACATGTAGGCAGATGGTATGGGTGCAAGAGGTCCATCAAACAGATCAGCTCAAACCATTTAAGGCTAGCATGTTAAATGTCCAGAGAGGAACTGGAAAACACTGCAGAACATTGGGCTACAAATTTATTTTATGAATTATTACAAGTTATTGTTACACCATTTTGTTAAAAGCAATTTCCCCTTGATATCCAGAGGGAGATTAAAATCCGTAGCTCATGTACTGCTCGCCTGTACTCTTTATAAAGATTTGAGGAGTGAGGTTATTGCCCCTCTACTACAATCCATACCAGGTTGTTCAACCATTCCTACTGTGTCTTTTCTTCTGGCAGATCAAGGCAGGTGACAGCAAAAACTGCAAAAAAATTGCTGGGCAATTAGAATAAGATCTATTACTTGATCATTGATGTAAACCTCTGTAATGTATTTTGTATAGTTAAGCCTTTACCTCTTCAGTACATTGTATTTTATTTTATTGCTATGGCTAGTGGCTGATGCAAATAAAACTTCTTCTGATCTGCTTCTTACATCTCCTCCTGCACAGTTGACACACATGGAGTGAAATCTATCAGCAGCACCTATTTGCCTCCAGCTTGTAGTTTGCTTTTTTCCAAGGTGCCTTCCCCCTCCAACTCTTGGCGCATGATTCACCTCCAGCGTTCCATTCTCTTCCCCACTGGTAGGCTTCTGGGCAGTCGCAGCCTCCTCTTCACCTACCAGCTGCATCCCTTTGTAGCCCAAGTGTCATGGACTGCTTGGACACACAGAAATGGTTGGAGGCACTAACTGGGGAACCCCC